ACCATATAACGCGTTCAGTAAATCAGAAAATAGGGATAAAAACCCATATATTTAACAAAGTTCACATCATAGTGAATATATGTGTGTCTTTCTTGGTTGTGATGTTACACTTTTTTTCAGGGTAGGGTGAAGGTTGGCGCCTATTAAAACGTTTAAACCCGCTGCATTTGTTTTCACCTGTAACCTGATGTTCAGTGGTTGGCGTTTGTTGATGTGGTTCATAAGTGTTTCTCGTTTTTTATATAGATTAGACCGTTGGTTTTCCTGTTTGAATGATTTTACACTTGTCATTTTTGGGGCCCTTTATAGCTTGCTGTTCTGTTTGAGCCAAGGCTCCGTGTTGAAGGCCGTATTTTGACCTATAATGGTTTACTTTTACAGATAGTGACTTGGATGGAGAGTTGTCTCATTTGCACTTATACCACATCTTCTTATATCTACTTATAGTAAAGTTTACATATATATATATGACCATAACTTCGAGGTAAATTAAACTAAAACCCTAATCTTAAAGGGGACGGACCGACATACAGACTGGAAAACATAATGCCCCTACAATTGAAGAGGGCGCATAAAAACAGATTCCCGATATATTGCTGTATCCCTCGGTGCTGGAGATCTTGTATAATATCTATCCTTTATGTTTGGAAGTCTTTTAATATTAATATTAACTTATTATTGAACTTTTACTTATATTTACACAGAGTTTATGAACTAAATGGTCTTTTGATGTCATATCAATTTAGTGCAGGTACAAAACAAAAATAAGACCCACAATCTTCTGAACGTGACTAAACAGAAAGATTTTCTACGCGATTCTACAATAGGTACAAACAAAATCAAAGTACTATGCGAACCCATACATTCAATTTATCATTGATTTTAAGTGTTAAGTTTAAGAGGTAGACGATAGAAATTAGCAGCTTTCATAAATATTTGATAAATAGCTTACATTCATGTATACTGGGTCTGACAATATGTTTTTTAGAAATAAAAGTCCTTGCTACGAAGTTAGAATATATTTTGAAAACAGACACCAGAAGAATACACCAAAGTGTGTACAATGTGTTTTATATATGTACTATTATAGATATTTTTGCGTTTTTCAAATATTCGGTTTCCATGACAAAATAAAATGGTTTATATTTAGAAAAATGTATGTATAGCATAGCCATACGTCGAATCATATTAAATGGTTTTAACAGATCACCGAATAGTTTGAATTTCTATCGTTCTCTTTGGTCAGCCGACGCACAGGCCGGAAAACCAACATAGTGCTCCTACTATCGAAGAGGGAGTAGAGAGAAAAAAAGATCCAGATATCAATAAAAAAAATATAATTGCTTTATCCCTCGTGGCTGGGGATCTTATATAATAACATCCCTTTTTGTTTGGATGTTTTTAATTTCAATATTAACTTAGCATTGAACTTTTCTAATACTTATATTTACGCAGAATTTATGTACTAAATGGTCTTTTGGTATCATATCAATTTAGTGCAGGTTCGAAAACAACTACAAAACAAACTCACTTCTCACAACACAAAACACAGAAAGATTTTCTACACAATTCTGCAATAGTTACAAACAAAATCAAAGTACTATGCGAACCCATACTTTCAATAAGTATTTAGTTTAAGGAGTAGACAATAGAAATGCGCAGCTTTCTAGTTTCAACCATACCCGATATATAATTTATTAATAGCTTACATTCATGCATACTGGACCTGAAAATATGATTTTAGAAATTAAAGTCCATTCTTCGAAGTTAGAATTAATTTTGAAAAAAGACAAAACAGAAGAATATATCAAAGTGCTTGTAATGTATTTTATATATTCCCTATCCTATAGATATATACTTTTTTCAATTATTAAGATTCCATGACAACAAAAAAATGGTTTGCATGTTAGAAAAATTCGGACTACATTCGAGGATTTTAGATACTATACATGTATATGCATATATTCGTATGTCGAATTGAATTAAACAATAGATTTTTGTAGTTTTAACACATCTCCAAATAGTTTAAATTTCAATCGTCCTCTTTAGTTATCGAAGCAAACAATAAGGTTTTATCTTGTTCAGTATATAAAATGAAAGAGAACAAAAGCGACTGGTTTTAAACAAATATGAAAGTTGCTAGTTTCAAAGGATAATACAAGTCCAAGAAGCACAGTCGGACGTGCGACGACAGGGCCCTGAAGTGTGCCAGGAAAATGAAGGCTACTTTTTGGTAAAGCAACATAGATATATCACACAATTTTGGCATGCGTATAAATCTAAGTAATTTTCATCAGAAATTACATTGTAAATGAAGCAAAAGCAATCAAAAGTACAAATGTTTTTTATACTTGTAGACTGTAATACTATCTTTTTTAAAATTTATATTATTAAAATGTGCGAACTTTGGTGGACAGTTGTCTCATTGGCAATCATACCACATCTCCTTTTTTCATTATGGTGGTACACATTTATTTATCACAGGCTAGCGGCACGTGATTTGAGTATCAGATCAGCTTGGAATTTGAACTTTAGCTGTTAGTAACGACGAGTACACTTAAAAGTCGGTATTTCTTGTATCTTATTATATCAGTAGATATTGTCGTCCTTCATTATGAGATACGTCAATTTCAATTGGATGATACAGTTTCGTGCATCGTTTTCTTTTTCTTTCACCAACACTTTCATAGGCAGAGGGGGAAAGCATTTACAATCTTGTTTAACTCTGACACACACTACATGTAACTATACCAAGTAAGCCTTTTGCAGAGTATTGTCTTCATCCATTATATTTATTTTTTTTCAATTGTCATTTAAGGAGGTCATTAGTTTTCTCTTTAATTAGTCCCCATAGAACTTTTATCAGCCTAGCTGACGTCATGGACAATTGTACATTATTTTTGTCTTTACATACGATGATCTGCATATTACTAGTAGTAAATATACTAATCATCAAAAGAAACGATACACAAGTTTGAACTCCAATTTATCATAAAATATAATAAATAAATAGGAAAAACTGTTAAATTATTCAATAAAAAACATTCAATTGCAAAGCAAATGCATATAATTAAAAAAATCTGACCAGATCGGAAAGTGAGAAAATACCGTGTTATTCAACACAGGGGTCAAATTTATCTTGCGGAAAATGATGACAAAAGTCGGCACTTAATTTCGAAGATGAGAATTAGGTATTCAAATATCTGAAAAGGCATTCAAAATTTTCAAGCAGACCATGTTGAAGTTTAAAGTTTTAAGTTCTAATATCGATTTTTGAATTTGGGGTGAAAATACTATTTTTGAAATAACAAAAATTGCAAAAAAAAAAAAAAAATATGCGTATTTGCCTTAAATCAATGGTTTTGATAAGAAAATATTGCGAACCCAATGAAAGTTTTCCACAGTGCCATCTCTATCTTGACCAGGTATTTAAACTTTTGCAAGTTCACCTGTCCTATTGAATAAATACAATAGCTATTGTTCTCTGTGTAGTTTATTCTCTGGGACCTTTAAATTTCTTCTAAGAGAAATCTATCATTCATTGATTAAATTACCTGAGTAAAAAAAAATTCTTACATGTAGACAAAAATACTTTTTTTATACTCATTAATTGCGTGTGATGATGTAGTTATTCAATATTAATAATATATTTTCATTCAGTTTAATATAAACATTGATTCAATCATAAAAAGTTGATTTCTGACAAAACTTTCAACATTGTTCCTTTTAAAAAAAATTTGTTTGACATGAATAAGAACTTGAAAATAATGATGTTTCAAATTAAGATCTTCTTAAATGTATTCTATAACCAAACAAAAAAAAAAATCAAATTTCAATAGAAACATTGATAAAACTTTTTTTAGAAATCAACTTTTTATGATTGAATCAATGTTTATATTAAACTGAATGAAAATATATTATTAATATTGAATAAATACATCATCACACGCAATTAATGAGTATAAAAAAAGTATTTTTGTCTACATGTAAGAAATTTTTTTTACTCAGGTAATTTAATCAATGAATGATAGATTTCTCTTAGAAGAAATTTAAAGGTCCCAGAGAATAAACTACACAGAGAACAATAGCTATTGTATTTATTCAATAGGACAGGTGAACTTGCAAAAGTTTAAATACCTGGTCAAGATAGAGATGGCACTGTGGAAAACTTTCATTGGGTTCGCAATAACACTCTGTAAATATTAGACCAATTGGGCAATTATTTACCTTGGTACAGTGTATCCAATTTCATTATATATGGAAAATACATTGCCTTGTGTCGTTTCTTTTGTTGACTAGTATATTATTTCCAAGTCGTTTGGCCGGTAGTGGAAAATGTCTTATATACAATCATACTACCACATTTTATTTGATATAGCTAGAAATCATCAAAATTTAATACTTGAACATGCCTCAGACGATATTTTTTATAAATGCGCATATGGTCCAACAAATTGATTGACAGTTTACAAATCACTTTATAGAAAACTAAAGATTGTGCAACACAATCTCCACCAAAACCGGTGTGAACTAGGTATCTTGTTATTTTGCAATGAATATATGAATGAACAGGAGATGTAGGTTATATACGTCAATGAGAAAACAAAACAAATAATCAACAAGTGCTTATATAATATGCCAAGCTTTAAAACTGTTCCTTGTCTAAAAATAAAAACATTGCGAATATATAAAACAATTTTGTCAAAAGTTAAAAAAAACAAAACACAAATCCAAGATCCGTCCTATATATTTTCACTTAACTCTCTATAGACCTGAGATTGTTTTTATTTTTATTTCCTCTGCACCGTTAGAACTCTCTCGTTGTTTTATTGACAACAATAAGAATTGTATACATTAAATTTATAGGTTACTCTGATTTGACCCACTTTATGGTGACTATTTCGTGTCATATCGTACGTGAACCCAACATATGGCGCTATCTTATCGTCTTTAAATTTCCAAGTTTTCAATGTGGACATTATCTTGTCAGTCTTTTTGGTGGCTCAGCTCGGACAGTACACAATGTGGACCTCGTTAATATTTTTGTCTCTGGCCTTTACTCAAATTTATGGCCAAGGATTTCAATTATTTTTTGGAACAACACAAGGAATAACTGGTAAGCCAACAATTATCATTCATGTTCTTTATCATTCTTTTGAATGAGTTACTCTTTCTGTATTTCATTGCAGAAATATGCAAAGTGAGATATATACATGTACATAAAAGATCTGCACGATGCCATTTCACGCGAACTCATTACTATCAGATATATGATATTGATTTGCACGATGCCCTTTCACGCGAAATTAGTATTGCAGATATATGAAAATGCTTTGCACGATGCCCTTTCACGCGAAATCAAGACTACAGCGCTATATGATATTTGTAGTCCGTCTCTTATTATCGTAAACCAACACATTTTATGTCGTATTGTCTGAAATAAATAATATCTTTAAAGATTTTTTCAAAACGCTGTTAAAATGCATTTTAAAAAGCTGCCCACACTTTCGGACCAAGATTAAAACTCAGGTGAATACACAATGTATTGTTTAAAGATACATATAAGTATTAGATAATCCCTATATATTACTATTACAGTAACCCATATTTAATATTTGTAGGAATAAGACAAGAGGCGTGTTGAATACAAATCGATTAGACAGAAACGCTAATGTACATACAAAAGCATGCATTAACTAAAATGTAATAGATTCAAATAAAATATAGGTTTCGATGGGCACAGGACGTTTGCGCCTTTTTACCTGTAACACGAAAAGATATTTCAAACACTATGATATTTGCGTTTTAAACGTTGATACGCCTGTATTTAATTGACAGGACATTTGCGCTTTTACCTATGAATTGTAATTATTACGCATATTTCGAGAATCTACGACATATGTCAAAATCTGCCAAATTAATGTTTCCTTTAACTTGTGTTAATGAAAACATTAGTTATCCAATTTCCGCATACCTTTTTTTTCATTTAACAGGTACACAGAAATTGGGGTTCTTTTTTGGAATAAGTGCAATTAAAGTAGTAAATGTATTAGACCAATATATCGACATATTGAAAATTAATCTGTAGCATAATTAGAAAATAATAAAAAAATGTAATATTGATAGTTGTGATTACTATAGTCAACTCATCTTTTATTGTTTAAAGGATACCGTATATTGAGGGCCACATTTGACCAAAAATTAGTTACAAAACTACGTGAAATTTCAATAACTATAATGGTTATGAGCAAAATCATTACTGCAAGGTCTATCAGTCACAAAATTCTAAGGATGACGAATAACATTCTTTTTAAACATGACACACATTACATTGTCTTGACACACATTTGAGAGTGAATACGAGTAATACAAAAATCAAGTGAATATTTATGATAGGGCTATTAGTCGAATAGATAAACCCGATGGAATATCTGATATGTTACTTGTTCTCCCACGCGGTCTTATTGTGACTCCTAAATCAGCCTAAATCAATGCATTTTCATGACACTTAAACTGGCCTTTTATATTGTTATCAAGCTCGTTCTCCATGTCCTCCATTTTGCTTTTATTTCGAGAAATGTTTTTTCTATGACGTACACCTACTTTAATTTTGACCTCATTGCTTCTAAGCTTTATTTTATGAGTGTTGTATCATGTCAACCGTAAAAGAGAGGCGAAAGATACCAAAGGGACATCAAACTCATAAGTCGAAAATAAACTGACAACGCCATGACTAAAAATGAAAAAAAAGACAAACAGACAAACAATAGTACACAAAACACAACATAGAAAATTAAAGACTGAGCAACACGAACCCCACCAAAAACTGGGGGTGCTCTTAGGTGCTCCGGAAGGGTTAGCAGACCCTGCTCCACACGTGGCACCCGTCGTGTTGCTCATGTAAGTACAAACACGGTGATAAGTCTAATTCAGTAGGTCATATTCGGGGAAAGGGGACGGGATTATAGTTACGACAATTGGAACATATCCGTCGTCATCTGTGAAACAGATATTCCATAAAGGTCAAACAACTCCGTTATATAGAAATAAAAGGAATATAGATCTTTTAGTAAATGAATTTTAGTCCTAAACGGTCATTTTGATCTTGACAACATCTGAAAAGTCTGAACATATATAATAAAATCATGTTCAGTCTTTCAGTCAATTTCAGACAAATCGACTGTGGTTAATTCGGTACTGTTAAAACAATTCCATGCAGTCAATTGAGCATTTTTTTTTCAGACAAGTCAGTATGTTATTAGTTTGTACAGGTAAAATCAACCACTGAACAGTCTGAACATAAACTGAACAGAGCTTGATTAACTAAAAGCGAATTGTCTGAATAATACTGTATTTACCGCAGCGAGTAAGTCTAAAAGTCTGAAAAATACTTAATGATTTATTATTCAGTCTTTTAAGAACTATTTAGATCAAAATGACCGTTTCAGATCTTAATCGGTTTACAAATTTCAGTGCAAAAATTATCATTATCACTGCCTATCCTTTACACATGGTACAATGTTCATTTGCATATGCAAGTGTGTTTCATTATAAATCTTGTTTGAATATGTTCTTTCCAAATTTGATTTTAGAATACTTGTTTAATTCTATTTCAGAATGTAAAGACAAATTACCAAATTGTTTTGCATTTAAAAAAGATTCTTGTAAAGCACCATATGAAAAATGGGCTCATGATTACTGTCCACTGTATTGTGGATTCTGCCAAGGTAAGACCATCATTATAGAAACAAACAAAAAACATAAACAATGTAACCTAATATACAATTTTCCTATTGTTGTGGAATTCGAAGTTGATTTATGTTTTCAGCATTTATTTTCAAGAAAGAAAGCTCCCAAAGAAATTGGTGAGAAAATCGATTTGTTACTTAAAATCAATTGGTATTGCTAATAGACGTGCCGCCAACTTTCGGAACTTGGCTATTGAAAAAAAACCCGCATAATTTCGAGAACGCGAGTTTTTGTTTTAGTGAAATTCATATTCGTTTTATGAAGGTCCACCAACTCCAGCACCAGCTTGTGAAGACACGAAAAGTGATTGCGATTCATACCAAAAAAGTGTGTGTACTGATGATGTATACAGACAATGGAGCTATGATAATTGTCGGTACTACTGCCGACTCTGTACACGTAAGTCTAAATATACAATTTTCATAGGTTTTGATTTAATTAACGTAATCGAAGCCAATACATACAAAACTTCAATCTCGTTAATCTCAGTGCTAAAAATGACTACTTAAATTAAAAATCAGCATACAGACTTATCTACCACTTTAAGATAAATAACTGTCAACCAAAAAGAGTGACATGTAAACAAAACAACGGAAGAGAAAAAAGGCAATCTATATCAAGGGAATTATATAGTTGTTGGGATCGAATACGAAAAGTCGAACAACAGCACCACCTGATTTTAGCAACATATTATTAAAAGCCTTCTGATACAAAATGTCATACGAATATACTTTGACTTTTCGTAAACACCATTTTCCTCAGAGATATAAATTGAAAATACATTATAAAATCATACAAAGGGAGACAAGTTTACACTTTTGTGAAACTTAAAACACTATTTATTGTTTATAGTTTAATAAAATCGCATAACCCCAACTAATGTCTTTTAACATGTCTTTTTCTTAACACTTTAAAATTGTTAACCTTTCAGTGTTCTCAATTTTTATCAGTTGAACTGAACCTTTAGTTTCCAATCTTTTTTTTTTAATTTGAAAATACTTTGTCATTTGAGCTGATTCTTAAATGTCAAGAAAGGCATTGATTACGTGAAATTAGAATTATTACTTATTATAATTTAGGCAACATTCAGTTTTTTAAATATTTTGAAATGTAGCATTATTATTTAGCGTAGGATAATTTTTCATATAATTAAGTATTTGGGTTAATAATTGAAGAACGGATTTAAACCGTATCTACAAAAATTTCAAAAATTTCAAGTTTCGGTTTAGTAGTTGTATTTGAACAGAAGAAGGTTTTTATAATTTCATTTTTTTTTCTTTGAAAAATTGGCAGACAATATTTCGTCTAATCCCAAATCACAAAACGTTTCTAAGTTTAAACGCTCGTAAGCCAAAAAAAAAAAAATGAAATTAACAGATAAATAAAATGATAGATATAAATACAGTATTACATTATCTATTGATTATTTTATCAATTTTTTAATTAAAAAAAAAACTCTACAAAAAGTTTGTTGACTATCATTCGCCACTGCCATATTTATAAAGATGTTTATTGCACAAATACTTTTCTTCAGCGGCACAGCTAGCCTTGAAAGACAGTCAAATAACAACTTTACCGCCAGCGTGTAAGTATATACATTTAACATGGAAAAGTATTTTGTTTAATTTTATACAGTGTGCAGTTAACTTGTCTATTTCTTTTTAACATTAAACGCTTTTAGGTACATTAAGATTTTTGCAAAACTAACGAATTTTAGACGACAGACACGGAACAATTTTCCCTGTCACATGTAAAGGAAAGGTTGAACCGCTCCCTGAATTTTTGTGGCTTTGGCTGTGCGTGATGTAAAATACGCAGGCACGTCCTGCTCGAGCCTATCGGAATGGGGACGTCAAACCCGATGCCTCGTGTAGGGAGGGTACCACGCCCTATTCATGTTTAGAAAACATTGTAACAACTCTTCGATGGGTCCGTAGGTTGCTTGTTTTATTGTCCCATGCCAACATAATCTCTTTCCAGTGGCTGTCTAAATTTCATCCCGGTCGACCCATGTGGCAGAACTTATCTTTGGTATGTTTTGTAAATGTGTGTTCATCCTGAATCTGCATGTAACATTTGCCATTGAAGGTAAAACAGGCATCAATCAATCAATACAAAATCTTCATGGATAAATTTTATTGATTTACTAGAATAATATTTGGGCGTTTTTATTGCTACAGCTTAAGGGTCCGAATAAGCACCTTTTTCAGTGACCATTTACCTTGTTGTCGGTCTACAATACCTATATGGAAACTGCATAACATCAATTATTTCGTCTATACAACTTAAAGCTGTACATATTTCGTCTATATATAATTTAAAGTTGTACTCATTTCGTATATATAATTTAAAGTTGTACTCATTTCGTATATATAATTTAAACTTCAACTCATTGGCGATTTGGAAGTGATATTTTTTGTACGATTCTAGCACAGTGTTCTCATAATCTTATTCCCAATAACACATCTTGCTTCAATATGAATTTTATTCTAACTTGAAATAAATAAACAAATATCAGTCTTTACAGGAAACTAAATCATTAATTAGCGATGCGTTTAGGACAGAATTAACTCAAACGAATACTGCAATATATAAGTTTAATATTGTGACTGGGTACCAGGACTAAATGTGACAGCGTTTACTTTCTTATATAAACTATTGTTATGTTGAATAGATTTCTGGTAAACTGAATATATCCTGATACGAACTGCGTTATGTTACAGAAAAAAACCCACAATATATAATGACACCAACATCAGCTTAATAAAGAAAAGAAAGATACCCATGATTTAGGAAGCAGTAACAACATGTGCTTTAAATCATTAAAAAACATAAAGAAACATATATTGCGTGTAAGCATGTCGTGTAAAATACTAAATGCTACATGTTTATCTTTTTAGTATGCGTTGATAAACTTGATGACTGTAAATTGTATGGTAAAGATTCATGTACTGGAGAATACAGCGGCTGGGCTAAGGAGAACTGTAGACGTTTTTGTGGATTCTGCGTCGGTAAGTATACACAAAATAGCAATAGTTTTATGAAGAGCACTTTCCTGTTATGCAGTATATCACGGAACTTGTCTACAACAATCAATCACAAGATTTAACTTATACGAAGCATTGAGGATGTCGATGAACATGCGCATATTTTCTCCCGAAATTTCCAGATCCTTCTGTTTTGCATTTCGGCAGTTAAAATTTGCTAAATAGCTACAAACGTTTATTTGTATTTATACATCCATGGCGTTTAAAAGTTTAGGTTTGAGCATTCTTGATGAAGACTCATTGGTGGCCTTGGGCTATTTTCTGCTCTTTGGTCGGGTTGTTGTCTTTTTGACACATTCCCCATTTCCATTCTCAATTTTATTGATGAAGATAAATAAAGAAAAGCACTTCGATTTCGGATACTCAATATCTATAACGTGTTATTTTCCTTTACTAGCACTGGGCTGATACCACTGCTGGTGGACTCTTCATTTCCTTATGGCTTCATCAGCCAAGTTGTTAGTGCTTCAGTACTGACATGATTAAACATATTTTTTAAAATAGATAAAAACGAAATTTTCAAAAACATAAGTTTCCAACTCCCCAAGGTAATGTTGACCTTTGATTGATTTGGCTATTCTTTTATGTTCCTTTTAGGAATAAAGCAAATATTTATACATGCCTGGCTGGTAAATGATTAGTTTTGAGCTATACACATAATGTATATAGTGTTTTCATTTTTAAATCTTTTGAATGGGACTCTAGCTTGCTCCTCATGCCTCAGCTACCTCTACTGACTATTTTTGACGTTTGACATATATCATAAACTAGTTCGTCAACACACGTGAACTTTTTTTGTTTATAAAAACTTACCTTATAGATTACTTCATCTTTCAATGCAATGTTAGTCTAAGAACATTGATAAAATTAGAACAAAATGAATCTAGATCCGTTCGTAATGATGTCAACATGCATCACATATGAAGCTTACGTAAAACTAAGACAATGCTGCCAACCATTTCTGAAAACGATTACCTTTGTCTTGTCTATATTAACAATGATATTTCACTTTTTACAAAAATGAGTGTTTTCAAGTAGAAGATGTAATGTTTTGACATATCTTCAGAATAGGACAGTATCGTCTGCAAGCATAACATATATCCCTTTATATTGTCATTATCAATTGGAATAGTTTGCATTATGTCATTGATAAAAAATTAAAATAAAAGAGGAGATACCGCTTCACCTTGTGTTTTCCCGCATATAAATTGACAAAAACCACATTCGTTGCGAATACTTCAACGAACAGTTTCACAGACAGCCTTTAGAATTAAATACTTTTTGTGATAACACCGCTTTGTAATAGTTTGTACCATTGAAATATCCAGAAATCCTTATCAAATGTCTACAAAATTCAACGAATGCGCAACAAGTTTAAATTTCTGTTGTAGAATAAATAGTTGTGTTATGATACCGTGCAATACAAATATAGCGCCATCAGAAGAGTAGTCAGGGCGAATCCAAACTGGTTATTGATAAGTTGTTCTTCGTCCTAAGTCAAATTTACTGATCGGTCAGATAATATAGCTTTAAAAAGGTTTGAAAAAAAACCTCACCAAGACGATAAGCAATTACAAAAGTAAAAGTTAATTGTAGATGATTTATTAATTCATATATAATGAAGATAAACTTTACATATCGGTTTGGTTAATAGCAAAAAATGTTCGGGCAACAGTTTGTCTGTCGATCATATTAACTGGTTATGAATTAAAACACGACACATTACATTTTTATGTATATTTCATAGGTCTACCCACACCTGCACCACCATGTAGAGATGTTATACCCAATTGTAATCGGTACCAAAAGAATACATGTACAGACATTAAGTACAAAGGATGGGCGGAGGAAAACTGTAATAAATTTTGTGGTTTCTGCTCTGATGGAAGTAGTAGTGGTAAGCAGACGATTACCGGCCATTTACAATTTATGTATCGAAACCTTTTGTTTGTTTGTTCTACTCAAATTATTTTTGAAACAATAACTATATTCATCCGTTTATCCAAGAAAACTAATAAAACAATTATTTCTTTTGATTTAACGGTCTATCTTGTATAATGGTACACAAAAATTCATTGTACCACTATTTTTTATTTTGTATATTTTATAATCAGGCTGATGTTTGTATTTTCTATCCGTTTAATTCATGCCTTGTTTTGCTTTTTGTTTGTAAACACTGTGTTGTTGACCTCACTGTTTTTCAAGTGTGTATTAATGTACTGTGCAGCTTATTAAGTTGAATGTTATTTATCTTCCGAAAAGGTAAGCTCATATAGAAATACTAGAATAATTAAGCAAAACCAATAAAGACCTCCCAATAAGTAAAAAATATATTTTCAATATTTTTTTAAGGAAGGGGGGATGGGTCAAGTAGATTAAATACAATGTACTTGAACTTCAGATACACAAAATTGAAAAAAAATTGAGATATTCTTTACATACCTTGACAAATGAAAATACAAAATCAAAAACTTTAAATTCAAAATAAAATTGGAAATACACGACTTCAATACTGTTTTGAAATATTATCAGAACGTTGTGAATCGTAACTTAACATTGTCATGACACTGTAGGTAATCAGCCATCTGTAACCTCTGCTCCAACATTTGCACCACCATTTCCACAAGCATCAGGTAATCAACCTACCCCTTCAGGTACGTTTTTAGGTTTTTTTTATACCCGTCTTCACAATATTTGATGGGTAAGTTGGTGAGTATGATAATTCTGTTTCCGTTCAATCTGATATAGGTAAACAAAGGTCATTAAACTCCCATATCGGTCCAATTACTTTCAAAATTTATTTTTTACAGATATCAATATACGATACAGATACATTTTGTAAGCATAATAAATAATCTTCTTCTTCAGTTGTTTTTTTTCTTAACCACAAACATTAGTCTTATCACATATAATATATGCAAAACGTTAACAAAAACTACGAACAAGATAGGATTTGCATAAACAAGTTTGGACCAAATGGGACTCTTATTGACCTCTCTCCTTATGCAACAGTTACCGGTATTTGAGACAGGGATATTGTATCTTTGTCATTACCTTAATATGTATTTCTTTGTTATCTGTTAGGTTTTCTCGAAGTTAATACACAGTGATTACAATGTGTAACGATACATTTGTGTGAAGGTAATACTATATGTTATTCGGGATCTTCACAGAGGATATGGGCTCATATTCCTAGTTACTCTTTTACTATTTTACTCGGGCACTGACTGGGAATTTAATCCCATATCCCTTGTGAAGCCCGAATAACAATTATATTATACTGGAGTGTCCTGATTTAAACACTTATTACCAATTTAATCTTTGTTTTCCTTCACAGGGGATATGGGTTCATATCCCCTGTTTAGGTTACCAATCAAATTGCAGGATTAGCCAGGATGTTTCACTCCAGTATAATATACAGTGATTACAATATTTAACGATATATTTGTGTAACTGTATGTAATCGTCATCCAATTGTTTCAGCTGCCCAAGATTGTAAGAAATTTACATTATATATGTTTTGATAAATGGAATTATTAAAATTCTTAATTTTTTTTATATAAAAATAGATGCTGCAATGAGTTACATGTAGCAATGCTACATTTATTTTTGACTTAGATTAACCTAGTCAAAGAAGAGAATTAATTTATTTTTGTATAAAAAAAATCGCTTCAAATAGCAATTACCTACCGAATCATATTGTAAGACTTATATTGACCTATTTTCATTCAGCGTGTAGCTTATTGACAGTTACACACGTTCTATGTCAATAATTGTACAAACATATTTCAATGTTCATTCTTTTTTACTTGTAGGTACAATGGCACCTCCTTTACCTGGTAAATAAATAATTATTTATCAAGCATTATATGTAAACATTATTAAAAATGAAAAAAAATATCTGATTTTCCTTGTCATTTTCATCACCTATTCATCAATATATGCACTTCATCTAGGTTTTTGAAATATTTGTATTATTCATTCAATTTAAAAGTTTTTTCCTTTAAGATGTAGTGCCTATGACGAAACAGCCAGATGATTACATATTTATTTAGATTTCCATATCGTGTTTCATATAGAGGCTTAAATGACTGTTTCATTTTATGAAGCCAAGTGTTCACATATTTTAAAGATTAAGAAATCTCTCTTTTTAAGTACATATTAAGTATGAAGTTTGCTTGTTAATCACTGCTTTGAGATTCTTTACACTCGACAATAAATTTCTAATCTTCTATATATATAAGTACCTTTTCAAAAATATTTGATTTAACCCAATAATACTATGCTTATACTAGTATTCGAAATCGTTTCCAGTAGTCTAAGCAGACAGTTTAATTCCTTTGTTCATAGTTGGAGTAAATATTTTACAGATGAAATGTCATAATTTGACATTGATTGCAATGCTGACAACATATTTCCAATCTTCCATATTTTTGTTACCTTCATGACAGTTGTCTACATAACCAGATCAAAACTGAGGTCCTCAAATATATTGATTTGATCATCCATCCGGCTTATTGAAAACACATAAATGATGTATATTGATGTTGTGGATTATATTTAGAACAGTGTTATACTGTTGTTAACTTTCTTTTTACTAGTATTTGTTTTTTGTTTGTTTTTTGTTTGTTTTGTTTTTTTTTGTTTTGTTTGTTTTTTGTTTTTTTTTAGTGTTTGTTTAGTGTTTTTAAAGGGGGAAGGGATTGTTTTTTTTAGCTAATAATTGAATCTTAACTAAAAATTGAACTTATATTTTCCTATTGATTGTTTATATATATAGTACATTAATAAATTCCTACTAAAATGCATATTGTTCACATCTTTGTTTTATGGTCTTTCATGATAGTTGTCTCATTGGCAACGGTAACACATATCAAAATGTACTAGGCTTTCCAAACTTATGAAAGGTAAACCAAGAAACACTGAAATCGGCGTTTTACTTTTTTTTAATGCATAATGATTCCTTGTCCAGTTTTCCCTGAAAATGGGCTGACAAATATTAGATAATTAAATCGCTATGTATAACCCTACTGAACTAAACTTATGGAACTTAATATGACATGTTTTCTGAATAAAGTAAGTGATAATTTTATAATTCAGTGGATTTAAAGTATGCTTCTTATACCTTTACCTTATTGTATGTTTTGCTTTGAGTCAAGAGCTTGGTTTAACCTTTGCTTAATTTCTCAACTTGCACATCCAGTTATTGTGTACGTGCATAAAAGTTTCTTTGTCAAGCTTGCTATTTGTACGTTTTGATTAATAACAAATTACAATTTTTATAGAATACATTGAATAATATATGCTTGTATATTCCACCAATTTGACTAAACTTTATATTAATCTTTGTGTAAGTCTGTTGAATACGAGACAAATGACGGTCTGGTGCTTCGATTGATCCGGCTACCCATGGACACCGTTGTATAACCAGAAATCACATATTCATATTTATAATTACCAAGAACAAAATATACCAGATTGTTATATATTTTTTTTAAATGTATTATTCAAACTTCTATTGTGTCTTTGTTATTTTCTGTTGATAAAAAATATTTTAATGGAAGGTCAGCATAAGAATAAATTAAATAAAGATGTAACTGAAAGGTCTGAAAAAGCTTTGAAGTCTGTTCAGCTTTATTTGTTTTTGCGTTAATACATCTAGTATTATACATTCACCGGTGCTTAAGGTACTAGGTGTTCTAGTAATATGAATTCAATTTTATCAACTGCAAAACAATAGAGAATTATTTATACTGCATTTGACTTACATCTCTCTGATATTGAAATTAGGAAATCAATTACTGAATAAGCAAAGATAAGAGTTGCACACATATGACGAAAATCTTGCGAAACACTTTATCCTGATATTCGCCGAAAGATCTAAGACGATGATTCTTAGCGCACACATTTTATAGGCCCCATGTATCGACCTATGTTGCCATCTTGATTGCTGGAACATTATCATATCTTGATAACAAATGTTTGCCCATATAGACCCGACTAGACGTTCGTTTTATCGTTTTCTGTAACGAACAAAAGAAACTATAACTAAAACTTTGACTGTTTATATATTGTGTATTTTTATCTGTTCTTCTCATTCATGAACACCATTGTCACCTCATTGATCATTTATAATAGCAATTGATAGAACATCGAGTGGTGGGCACAGCTTCTGTAATAGTAAACGTTGCAATATAACTCTTCCGCCATCATTCAAATACCTATTATCATACTTTATCGTTTTATTCAAGTGCAGTATCTCTTGCTTGAGCGTATCTAATTGAAAAGGATACATTGTATATGTTTTGCTTTTTGTGTTTAGATCAATTTTGTTTAAAACTTATTTTATTGTTAAATTAGAAAATTCGCTTTCAAACTTATTAATAATTTATAATAATTATTATTTTTTCTAACTTCAACCCTCAATTCTATAATTCAGATTAAATGCAAAAATTGATTCAGAGTTAAAGTGTATGAGACTATATCTACAGAATTAAAAAGCAATTGAAGTTTACCAAATGACAATTACCAATGAGCCTTAAATCGTCGCATACATAATGATAAATATGTGTTTACAATATCGAGTCGAGTACATTAACATACTAAATTAGCTATTTTAGCTCAATTCCAACATAAAACATTAACAATGTTTTAATACTCCAATTAGCTGTTTTTCAACGATTTAGTGTAACGAAAAGAAATATAAATCGAACAGAATGTCTTATAACATGAACCTATTTGTTAGTTATTCTGTTTTTGACATTATGAAAAATTTCATGTCTCGAAGTCTATATATTTTACTTTTAATATAGGTGGAAAACGAAGAAATCTTGGAGCAGGATCAAGTGCCTCGGAGGGAAATAATGTATTTTTTGGAACAGACAAACCTAAAGCCACTCAAAAACCTACACCCGCACCAACAACAACAACCCCAGCCCCAACAACAACGACCCAAGCACCAACTACCACTACTCCTCAGCCAACAACCACTACAGAGGCCCCAACAACACCTAAGCCAAAACCTAAAGACAATGCTCTATCAATAGGATCAAGTGCTGGAGGACAAAAAAAACCAAACGTTATTGGTAATATAAAATTATGTATTTACATTTGTATTTATAAGTAATAGAGCAACCATGTTGCATATACATACAGGTAAACAAATTTTGTGCTTTATTAGAGCTATTATATTTCAGATTTGCTAAAAACGAAATGTTTTTTAATTTGTTTACTCTTAAAACTACATAAAACTGAAAAATTTGTAAAATATTACATTCAGCTGTGGTCATTTTGTATTTACTCAGTAGAAATAAAAGGCTTTTAGGGGTGATCGTACATGAGATTGAAACACTTTAAAGACATATCAAGGTCAGCAAACAGTCTACATGTTTTGTCGTCTGCTTTTATCTGTGTTTATCTGTGTTTAGTCGTCTGTTTCTATCTGTGTTTTGTCGTCTGTTTCTATCTTTGTTTTGTCGTGCGTTTTTTCGTGTGTTTCTATCTTTGTTTTGTCGTGTGTTTTTTCGTGTGTTTCTATCTGTGTTTTGTCGTCTGTTTCTCTGTGTTTTGTCGCCTGTTTCGATCTGTGCTTTGTCGTCTGTTTTCTGTTTCTATCTGTGGTTTGTTTTCTGTAATATCGATATTATACAATTAAGTCCTTTTAAGAACTGATTTATCATTTTTACAAGGAATCCTTAGTTATTTGAGATTTGAAAACAAATAAGGTTGACTACTAAAAATGTCTTACCCCGTCATAAGTTTATGTGCCTCCCGAAAGTCTGGAACCTCGTCGATGTTAGTGTTTGTTAATATTAAACTGCGTATATCCTTGAAAAAATGATAGACTAGTAAATTTATTTACAATTTGTATAGGCTTGGTGCAATTTTGAGCTTGGCATAGTGTAATATACATTCTGTATTGCTGTCTTATTGTTGACCTGTCGATATCGTTTCTGATTTTATTGAGTTTTTAGATTGATTCATCATGGAAGTCCGCGGTCATCTCATTTTATCTTCATTAACAAAAAAACAAATGTCTGTACAATATGTCCAGTTTTTATTTCGCTCACAGGCTACACAGATTTTGAAGGAATTTATCAGAGACGTTTAAAGATCTATAATCTACAGAAAAATATTTTAAAAACATAGACTCATAGATAAGAATAAAATCAACCACCCCGAGAATCCGGACAAGCACGAACCCGGAACATTTACATGTAGAGGGTTTGAATTGGTTTACTTAGTACTTTTAGAATTCCATTTCTGCGACGTTTTTGTTTTTCTTTGTAGATTTTGGAAACAACAGTGAACTGACAACCACAGGTAAAATATAGATAAGCTTATTTGTCTTAATGGTTTTGTGATGACACTATAATCGAACTTACATTCCATAATAAAATTTGAAAGACCAAATGCAATATATATATTGTGTATTTTCGTTTGATGCCTTTTCAGAGAAGTTGCAAGTAAGAGGATTTTTAAGCCGGATTCTTATGAAAATAATGGAAAAAAGGATACACTCAGAACTTATTTGTCAAATATAAACAATCACTCCAATTTACAGTTGTGGATGTAAATAAATTAAAACGTTGGTGACACTTTACGTCTTCTGAACCATACAACCTTCAATTTCTCTGGATAATATCAAATACAAATATGTTCGCTTGTACATTATAGAGGAAAATAATGAAATAATCAGTTCAGTTGTAATACTCCTTCTGTGGTTTATGAAATAAGGATAGCAGACAAACAGTCGTAAGCGATGCAAATGTTTCTTAATCTGATGTCAACACAAGATCTGATAAGAAAATAATTGTTTTACATGTAGAGTAGGAAACGATTATACAAACTTCACTTTAATAAGTTATTTTCGGTTTTCTCTTGCTTAAACATTATACATTTAACACAAACTACAACTAATAAATAAACTTTATCAATTGAAATTCTTTCGATCATTAGCGATGGGCTGTTTCTATTTCTGATGTCAACACAAGAACACAAATGTTTTAGAATAGGAAACAATTATCCAAACTTCACTTTAATAAGAAAATTATGGTCCTTATCTACTTGAAAATAAACGATATATCAAAAGAACAACGCTTGTACTGCTATTCTATATCTTGGAAGGTCTTCAAAGATGATTTTGAAAGCTACAATAGTATACTTAAAATATTGTATTAAGCGTCTGTCATTTCAATGAACAAAGTTGGTAATTTATCTTTCATAGAAGTGAATTATTATTAACAGAAGTATATGGAAGAAATAACCGAAACAAAACTACAAATTGGCATCAAAACACATTTAATTATATCAATACATTATTTTAGAGGCACCAGAAGCTACAACTAAAGGTGGTACAGGTAGGTGTTTACGTGTTTTCTTGAATTCAATGTACGTCCGTATGCAACGAGTTAGAAGTAGCCTATAATATTTGCTCAAACAGATAATAAGAAATAAAAGAAAACAATTAAAAAAATGTTCATTGTCGATATGTATTTATTTCTTAAAAAAAAGATCCCGTTTCAGCAATATAATTACATAGCTGATATGCCTGTGATTTGGTTTGCTTTTACCATTTGTGTTTTACTAATATTTGACAACCCTTCATGTATCTAGCGAAAAAAACATTTGTGAGTACGTTGAAAAGGAAAGTGTAGGAGGTGCTATTATAATGTCATTTTACAAAGAAAATAAACATTATCAATTAAAAGAATTGTCCATCATTTTACATCAGACGAATTGAGAATGCGTAGAAAAAGAAATAGTTCCTTTTATTTTCTACTTTTTCCATTAGAGTTCCATGGTCTATGTAATAAAAATTAACTAATCCAAGAATTTAAATATCGAAAAATACTGAATTCAACTTGTGGCAAAACAGCTATGAAAATTTACTCTTTCCTTTAAAGGTGAAAAGTGATCCCATGAAATAATTCAACTTAAGTAGATTAAGTAAAATTATTCCTATTGACATTAGACGATTACTTTTTTTCCTCGCATTTTTATTCTTTTTAATATCTGAATATGTTTTTGAGCAGGAACCGGAACCGGATCATCAGCAGGAGGAGGTGAGTAACAATTTGATAGATGTATCATATCTTTGTCAAATGGATATGAGGGTTTGGATGGGGTCATTAATTTCCTTATTCTGTAATTTGTACACCATTTTTCTATATTCTTTATTTTTTGGCTAATTTATCTCTATTCTGTTAACCCCATCCAGACCACCAGATATGAAATAATTATTGTAAGAATGAGAGAACAAGATGAAATGACCAAAAAGAACCATTAACCTTCTATAAGAAAAAGTAAACATCTAAAAGTAATCGTATGGTCTTAAACAACAAGCAATAGACATCAATGTATAATGAACTGTAAAATGAGAACCAAGTGTGAATAAATCAAAAAGAAACAAACAAAATCATTAATTAAAGATGAACAAGAAAGATGACAACAAGAACAATTCGCCGATACAAGAATCTAATGAGTATTATCTATACTACATATGCCTATAAAGAAACAACACAAACGCAAATATCAATTTGCCGACAGCCCGCCGTATTTGATGGACGCCGGATGTAATATCATAATAACAAATACAATATTGTTTCTAACAGCAAATAACAAATATGTCGTAATTCTATGCTTCTATACATTATAATAGAACATTCTCTCTCTTTAAATCTTAAATCTTTCGAAAATATTTCCCTCACGGATAGTCGAGGCAGTCCAGGAAAAACCCTATTGTTTAGTGGAAACCTGTATCCGACGACAATGCGCAAGCCTATCTCAGGAAAAAGGTGGTCGGACCTCACCTACTATAGTGAGAGAAATGACATAAAACAAAAATTCTTGCTATGAAAAAAAAATATACTTAATTAGTATATACCACATATATATGACTTAAGTTTTTAGTCATGCCCGTACGAACGGCGACTAGAAAGTGACAAACAAATCAAACTTGCCTACATACCCGGATCTAAATCAACCCCTCTGATTGGACCATACGCATATTATCCATAACGTCAATACAATATTTTCCCGCTTTACTTCGAACCGCGAGAAAATATTATTATAGGTAATATGTTCACAAGCGTGCACTCAAACTTAGTGATTGGCTTACAACGTCCTAAACAATGGGAATTTAACCAATGACGTGGCACAATTTTCACTTTGGGGTACGAACAATGAAACCCTAAAGATTTTTGAAACGGCGAATTATTGACAATATACACATGGAACAAGACATTTAGAATGTTGAGAAGTTAAATAAGTTCATATGAACTAAAACCTTGACTCTCCTAAAATTTACCTCTGTTCAAATAATACATCGTTTACCTTTGGTTAATATTTTTTTTTAATTTTTCTTTCTTTTAGCAACAACCGCACCACCTGATAAACAAAGTGAGTAACATTTTTTATTATCGTAATTTTGTTGAAAGTTTAAATATAAAAAATGTTGTACTCGAGCTTTTTAATGAAACCTTCGACAAAAAAAGATGTTTAAAAAACATCTTTTACACAGACCCAACGATAAGAAAACCGAAGAAAGAAAATTAAGATAATTTAGATATAGTTTTCGATCATAGAAAAGGGACATTCGTATTTGTGTATTAAGTATAATTTCAGTGCCTTTTATCATTTTTGTTAAAGGTTGTGTTGAATTATCAGAGGGTTCTGAACACGCGTCATATCCCCTTTTCAATTAAGATAGAGGTGTTTTTACCGTAAACTAAATTACCTAATGGAGGTGTTTTTTGCTTTAAAACTTCAAATGTGCATTTGAAACTGATTACTTTTGGAATTGCTTATTCGAAAACATTTTAACTTTTCTCCATTGTAAAGAAGATATGAAACTTTCGAACTCATTTCGTTTTGTCAAATTATATTTTTCAAATAATGATTTTCATTTAAAGGTACCGAACTTCCAACACAAGCACCAGTAAAAACGCAACCTCCAACACAGGCACCAGTAAAAACGCAACCCCCAACACAGGCACCAGTAAAAACACAACCTCCAACACAGGCTCCAGTAAAAACGCAACCCCCAACAAAGGCACCAGTCAAAACACAACCTCCAACTCAACCTCCACCAACAAAAGAAATCCCAACTCAACCTCCTACAAAGGCTCCAGTAAAAACACAACCTCCTACAAATGTTCCAGTAAAAACACAACCTCCTACAAAGGCTCCAGTAAAAACACAACCTCCAACAAAGGCTCCAGTAACAACTCAAGCGCCACCAGCAACTACACAAGGTAGGTACTATTTCTTTAAATTCCATTCAAAATCAAGTATTTTTCGAAAGATTGTTTACAAGGCATATTTATGGTGCGTCGACAGAGAAAGCGTCTCCTGAAGAATAATTAAACATCATAATTAAAGTTAATTCAATCACTGGGAAAGGAACTGTCGATATAAAATTATGTAATTATTCTAAAACTCCATCAGTCAAAATTGACTTTGAACAGTTTTTATTATTCAGTTATTCCCTTTTGTTTATACGTTCTAAACATTTAATAATAATGGTATTCCAAATTTGGTCACAACCGTACCAGACGGGGGTTGTTCTGAGTGCACGTCTTGTGTGCACGCACATAATTTCAAATGCACCAAAGAAAAAGACTATAAATATTATCAATCAGTTCTTTTATTGAAAAAAAACTCATTTCATGGCTCATATAGATCTTCAACTGGTTCGGTTTTTATATATCATTGGTTTCCAAATATTTAGCTTTGAGCGTACCTGATGAAGGTAAACCCAGAAAAGCACTTCGGACGCATGACATTTATAAAGTGAAATTTTAATGCCGACTCAGAGTGTTATCGACATACATGTATCAAATTCTTGTTCCTTCAACGCGTTCGGTTCTAAACATTCATACCGTTTACCAAAATCATATGAACTTGCTGTGATAGAGGATCAGGGCATACTCGTATTTTTTCTGCTTTTTTTCGAATATAGTTTTCATACTTTGTAATATTGTCATAAATGAATAACTGTTGTTGGTGCCATTTTGTGAAATTGTGTTCATGTTTATCAAGTCTGTGTTTGGATTTTGTATACATTATATCCATCTATTCCGTTGTTGTTATGACATTAAAATGACTTTCGATATTTTGCTGCTATATATTTAAACGAAAACACAAAATTGCCATGAACTGAATGAGCATTAAGATATGCATTATTCCAACAAATGAATAGTTCATATGAATAACTGACGGATCAAATTTAACTATCTTGTTTTTGACTTGATCAAAATCTAATTGCAGATCCTATTACTATCATTTTCTTTCTAATCACCCAAGATCGGTGTGGCCTCATGATATACTATTTAATTAATATATATCTTCTCACAAAAAGTAAGGGAAACGGAAAACATAATGATAATCAGAATAGATAAACATAATTCATAGTCTCATCGTCCAAACATATTATAAAGTTTTTTTCTTACACAGGAACAACAGCTGCAGCAACAAATGCAACTGGAAACAATACTGGTAGGTTAATCACATAAAAATAAAACATTACATTTGAAAATGATGATTTTTAAAATTATATGCAATAAAAAGATACAGACAAAAACAAAATGAAAATGAATCAAACATTGGCTTTGGAGATCAATTCAAATAAGCTGATAATACAAGTAACATCAAGTAACCTTTAATCTTCTACACATGAAATTATTGACATATAATCGGGGGTGGGGGTCTGCTTTTTGTAATCTTTCCTGTTACTGAGATAAGAACGGCCGAAATATGTCAAAATACTTTATTTAGCACTTTTTTGTCCTGACTATCGCGCCTTATAAACCATATTTGATACAGGTGGTGCTTTGTAATATTTCAATTAGTGGTGTTTCAGATGATAAGAAATGCATACTTGTAATTGGTCTCAAAAACAGAAACTTACCAGATGCAAATACATTTGTCTACTTTTGTTTTTGCCAAGTTTTTAGAAAAAGATGTTTATTATAGGAAATTCATTGTCATTACAAATTATACCTCAGGACATATATATTTTAGATAATAAATCACTTTCTTAAGTTGTCGTTCGTGTGGTTTAATAGCTAAATACTAGTAGCTAAAACATTTGCCGATAAATATATATCCAAAAATAAAGCAATGTTTAGGTTCTCTTAGATTTTACTTTTGAAAGTAACATTACAAATACTTAATATAGATAGTGGTACAGGATCTCAACCAAATAATAGTAAACCACCAATGAGTGGAACCACAGCCAGTCCAGCTGGCACAACTTCCGGTTCAGGAATGGTTGGATCAACTGCCGGAAGTGGAAGCGTTTCAACAGCAGGTAAAGCTAATAATTTTGTTGAATACGTTAATAGCAATAATAGGAAGAAAGGAAATAAAAAGTACTTGTATCTTGTCAAGATGAGATCGTTTGCAAAATTTGCATAATAATTCATAGTTGGAACGATATTTTTGATAACTATAAAATTATAAATCCTCTACCTTTTTGTTACGTCAACAACAGTCGATACAGTTATTTTCTTTTTCTCCCTATATCACATAATTTGAAACGTAAACATCAAAAAATGAAAATAATGTTAATCATAATTTAATGTTAAAGGAACCGGAGCTGCTACAGGATCAAATAATGGTACTAAAAACGGAACATGTAAGTAAAAGACTAAATTTTAAACAATTATATTATATTTAATTAAAATTATGTGCGCTTTGTTCAATCATGTTTTTGATAGGGGTAATTTAGGTTAAGCCTGTTTCTGTTTGGTGTGTTGTCAATTGTCTTCTGTCATTTTTTGGCCTTTTGTTTTGGCTTTTTGTTTTGGCCATGCTGTTTTCAATTCTTCTACGACTAATAATATATTAAAATGCACCCTAAGTCTCTTTCTATTTTAATACATGTCTTGTGAACTTTAAAAAAAACCCATACTTTATCCTGATTAATATTAATTCATTATACAAAGATGCGTATTTAATCAATATTGGTCCCTTTGATAACCTTTGGTCCCCAGGTTTTGGAGGGGTTCGAGTTGTTCAGTCTTTAGTTTGCTATGTTGTGTTTTTTGGGTACTTTTGCTTGTCTTCTTTTCGGTTTTCGTTTTTGGCCATGGCATTGTCAGTTGATTTTTGACTTATGAGTTTGAATATTCCTTTGGTATCTTTTGCAATTCTCAAAATATTTACAAATCTGTCAATTCAAAATCGAATGTGGCAGTTGTTTTCCATTTGTTTGATGTGTTTGAGCTTTTGATTTTGCCATTTGATAAGGGACTTTTCGCTTTGGGTTTTCCTTGGAGTTCGGTATTTTTGTTATTTTACTTTTTATGATACAATTTGAAGCTTAGTTTATATCAATAATTATTTCCTAAAAGTAAGACAAACACAATTTTGCATTAGAAATTCAAATTAGCCAGATGATGATTTCAAAAAATAATTTCTGATAATGGATATTTTCAACATATGCAAAATGTCCATGTAAAACGATGATTTTCTCATTTTTTCACTACATTGAATTATAATTTAAAAACATTATTTATTACAGCTGCCGGAACAGGCTCCGGGCCAAATTCAGGTCAGTAGTGCCATTTCTTGACTTACATATTCACGTTTATTTCTTTCAATTGCAGCAGTCGGTCAGAATAAATATGTTTAGCAATCAATCCAAAGCGTGTTAACGGATAGAATGAATTAGATTACAAATAATGAAAAATAAAACAAAAACCACATAAATAAATATCATTCGACGATTTCAATACACGAAATCATTCAAATAAGTCATATATGTTCGAATTCATAGGTTCCAGTAAGTGTATCTTTCAATTAACAGAAGATAGAACTAATTAAATGTCGAAATTAGTGAAAGTTAATTCTTAAAGGATAGTTCATATACTTGCATCAAATGTACCAATTAAGTTCAGTTCAGCTACCTTTTGCTTTATGTCTACAACCTTTCCAATGCTTGCTTAATGTCTTTTTGCTTTACCTGCTGCTTTATCCATGCATTTATCATTTGGTGCAAGGAACTACTATGAAAGTGCCACCAACTCCATTAGCTTCATCAACCATGAAAGGACCCACCAAACCTCAAACAACACAAGCACCTGCTCCAACAAACCCTCCGTCATCCAAAGCTCCTGTCACGTCAGCCCCTGTTAAGACCAATCCTTCTCAATCTAACCCTCCAGCTCCAACAAAACGTAAGTATACATGCTTAAAGGTGAAATGTTCCATTGTGTAGTAGAACATGAACAAATTGATAAAAAATACATGAAACACGAAGGAATTTTATGGGAAATAATAAAAACTGTAATTTTGAAAAAAAAAGTTTTTGTACAACCAATAAACTTCCCTGACAATAAGTCAAGTGTACAAACAATAAATAAATTTAATTAAAAAATGAGCTTCTTGTTTTCGTTTTTTTTTTCTGTGATAAATATATCTTTAAGAAAAATGAGTTTTAAAAGCAAAAAGTATGGTATCTTACATCCTTTACTTCGGAAGTAAAATTATAATTTGTATAAAATGCTATGTCATCAATTTTACCCTTTGACTTGCTGCCCTTGATTAAAAGAAATACTAAAAATAACCCAGTAGATGCTGCTTTAATTGTGTATGTATGATTGTTTGTATGCTGGTTAATAATTCGGGGCATGGTGTTTAAAATATCACGTTGAACGTATATAATTGTTCATTTTTTTTTATCTTGTACACGTAATTTGCTTGTCCCTAATATCTAGGAAAAAGCTTTAGACATTTCATTAAAAAAAAGGTTATTTTCAACAAAGTATTGAATTATGGAAATGACCAAATATGACAAAGTTTGTGATGCCATCTAAATAAGTATTTTGTAAAATGTTGAACATATCTACTCTTATTTTAAATGTCTGATTTCGGACATTTTCATGATTAAGGAATTTAAAACACTCAATCTTTACTCAGTGATAACCACATATATTTCATTCACAGCTGTCACAACACCAATGCCAGGTACATTAACGCCACCTACAAACACAGGTAGGGATAATAATGACGTATGCTATTGATTTCAGTGCAAACACACACCATCTGTTTCTGAAATCAATCGTCAATTACGCACGAGACCCGAAGTTCAGCTAAAACCGTACATGGTTTAATTTTTCCTGACGGAATTTGCGACAAAAGTTTAAGTTAGATATATAATACTAAGCTGAAGATAAATTCAAAATATATCATTAAAACAATACATATATCCTAAAGTAGAGCATTTAATTTGACAAAACGCGCATTTCATTTTAGTAGAGTACAGAAACGTGCATGCAAGTGCCTGTATGTTTGACATTAAAAAAAGATAATTTAAAACTAACGAATCCATACAGATAGGGCCCAGAGTTATAGAAATATTCACAGAAACAAAGTGCTATTAAATGTTTAAACAATACCAAACCCGGGTCTGGATATACGTCCCTTTGCATAAATAATTGAAATACCAGACTATCAGCAAACAGGAAATAGCTGCACGGCAGATTTAAAAATATTGTACACGCTACAACTCAACGTTATCAAGCTGCAAATTAAATATAAATCATTTCCTTTCATGGAAGCCAAGAACCTTTGACGAAATTTTCTACAAAATGTTTTCGTACGGACGGAGTCGAGCAGTTAATAGACCTGCTTTTACGACGACTCGGGTAAAAACTAAGCGACACATTCAGAAACATCTAAGAATGAATTACATATAACGTTTACTGCCTTTTTATGCCCCCCCCCCCCCCGACGGTTGGCAAAGGGGGCATTAGGTGTTATCCTTGTCCGTCCGTCCGTACGTATGTCCCAAAATTGGTTTCCGTATTCTAACTTTAGTTTGCCTCAATAAAATGTCATGAAACTTATACACTATGCGTATTATCATAAAACACAGATCATGTTCGAATTTAGGTGTTCTCTAGTTATGTCCCTTTATAACATTATATGCACTCGGGGGCATCATATGTGTCCCATGGACACATTTTCCGTTTGTTTTTTAAATTGATTCTCCAATTGCATTACTATTTCGTATGTTTGCAATGTTTTGTGCTTTAGTATTTATATACACTCGTTTTTGCAGTGACCTACCCGAACATCAACGTTACAGACAAGTACAGCAATACAGATGCTAATAACACAAATACAGGTACTGTTTACCCATTTTCTCGTTGTTACATTTTTTAGCAACTTAGCAAGATAGACAGAATTAAGCTAAAATCGGGTCACGTGTCGCTGAAAGATTACATATTATGTACAGAACCTATGGTTTAATTTTTATTGGAACCCTATTCGGATCCTTTTTTTATATTTATTTTGTCGACTTTGTAGACATTTTATTCTATTTTCATTGTGTTAGATTGTTTGTATTTCAGAATGCAAAGATTTGATAAATTGCCGAGCATATCCTCCTGAAAAGATTTGTGTCAACGATAGCGTTTATAAGCCATGGGCTAGTGTAAGATGCAGGGCATACTGTGGATACTGTATTCGTAAGTAATTGCTTTTCATTTGGAATAATCAGCAGATTATTATTAATCAAGTCTGTTTGAAAATATATCAAGATATCTTTTTGATTTATTTTCCTAATCCTAAGTTGCACCATATAATAATTCAGAATGCACTTTAAGCGAAACAAAAAGTAAACGTTTATTTCAATGACAACGAAATGCTCTCACAGGCGTGAACGAAATCGCCAAAACTGTATTCGATTCCATCAAACATTTGGTTTGTTATTGTGTATATGTTTCGTAAAAGTTGTTATTAAATACACAAACTAATTTAAATATGATTGGTAGAAAAATCACGGAGTGTACACTTATAAGTAAGAGTCATCTTATAGATAATGTCTGTTTAAATTTGTCGAATTTGAACAGCACATACAAATAACTAATCAAATGATAATAATCACGCCACAGAATTGATAAACAAGACTAGCGAAACTTTTACTGACCAACAAGAAGAAGTTGTGTACTACCTTGATGTTTTGTAACAAATTTACTGTTTATAAAGCAAGAGGGTTTCCTCTAAATCTGTCAACTGTTACCAACTAATTTGCATTGAACTTGGAAATGCATTGTTTGCTTTGCCTTTCACATCTGACATTAATCTTCATGTTTAAATCATCATTCTGTATGTATCTCTAACCGATACGATATTCCAGTACTTGAGTTTCATATAGTAATTTCCTTAATAGATGGTTGTTGCTTTATAACATGAATCTATTAAATTAAGGTTTAAATTGGTTAAATGGAAGTCATTGGTTAGACATTTTTACTGACGTAATTATCATTTAGTTGACCGTGTCGGAATATCTCTGTCGGTTTTCATTGGCTTATGATTGCACTTTGGAATCTTCGTTTTTTCAAATCCAACTGCACTTGCATATTATTAATCGGAATAATAATATTTTAATTCCTACTCTTTTTCTTATTTGTCGTAATTTAGAAGTGTCAATATGCATTTTAAGATATATGGTTTCTATTAGCACACTGCATTAGGAATAAAATTTTCAGAGAAGTTTCAATTGAAAATTATTTTTACTTATCCAAAAGAATTCTAAGAGCAAATTAATGCAAATATAAACAATTTCTTTCACTGAAAATGTTGATTGTGAAATTACTATAAAAAAATATTTTTCAAAGTAACGATTGACAGTCAGATGTGTACGAATGGTTCATTGCTCCTTGAGGAATTTTAGATAAAAAGGCAAATTAAGTCAAAGGTTATTACAAAAACAATGTAAGAACCGTGCTTTAACTACGGCGACTCCCACTTTATACATGATGCAGTTTCTAGATAAAACCTTCATCTCAACTATTACGACTAACTTGAAATTATGAACACTATGAAACACAAAGAACTCTTCCATAATTTGAAACACACTCAATAATATACACCACATAAAGATACGTTTGAGCACACAATTATTGACGATCGTCTTTATTTTCACTTTCAAATGGAGAATATTTCTATTCTGAGTGTTTAACACATGCTTGTGGTATACAAGTATTAACAGTTGTTTTGCTTTTCATAGGTGATTGTGTTAACCACATTATCTTCCTTGAGGGGCATAATAATGTCTAATGAAAAGATAAGTCATGTTCAAATAAGCTTTGAATGTTATTATCACTAAAAAAGTTTATAGTGCGAAACGATAAAGGTTGTCTCGATAGGTGTTATTGTTTGTGTTGTTTAATTGCTGTCTTAATGGTACACTATTCGTATATGTACGTACGCAGATTTCTTTGCTTTTGATATCATGTATTTCCTTTGGATTACAACTCATCTTCTGTGCATCTAAACATATTTTGTTTGATATATTCCACCTGTACAAATATATTTTTGCATACATGTTTATTATGTTAGTATATAAATCTTATATGATTATCTCATAGATTAATGGTTTTTAAGTTATAAAGTTAAATATAAGTACGTGTCTTATTTGAAAGTAAATACCTAATAAAAATACATGTCTTCATTTCAAGACACATTAAGACAATCACATTTTATTTTAAATTCTTATAAGACAGGAACCAATCAAATATCGTGATTCTTGGTGAAATGAATTCGTAGAAAAATTTCACATGATTTTTAGTTCCACATGTGTATAGCCCTGTCAATTAATTTGTCGGTTTTTTTAGCCAAACATTTTAACAAAAGACAATATTATTCAGTCATCGATTAAGCACATTCATAAAATGATATGTTTCGATCATTTACTATTTCGAAAGTCTCCGAAATTGTCTCCATTCTTCACCCAGAAGCCATGGTATTTTATCGCTTCCAATATGATCTTACATTCATATTAATGTAAAACTACTATGTGCTTCTTTCCCCACTTTTAAAGCTGGAGGTGACAATATAACCTGCGACCACAACGGACAATTGATCCGACATCCTAAAGACTGTCATAAGTTTTATGAATGTGCTTACTCTATACCAAGGGAATTGACATGCCCTTCTAGTCTAGCGTGGAATGACGTCATAAAAACCTGTGATTACGTAGGAAATGTTCCATTTTGTAAGCAATTGGAATCAAATAACGACTCTTCAGATAAAACGATCCAAGATTTAACAGGTATGAGAAAAGGGCCAAGTACACTACAATAACGTCTCACAATAATAAAAGATACGCGTTTGTTCATGTTGCTCTTTTGTATTTCCAATGTTCTTTTCTAAACATTATACCAATAGTCATAAGTCACATTTGATATAACTTCGGTAGATTTTTTTTTATGCCTCTTACATTGATTTTATGTTTTAAAAATTATCAATGTTGTTACAACAATGATCATGTTACTGAGTTGTGGTCGTTAATTATAACAAAAAAGTGATAGTACCAAGTTTCCAATATCAAGTCCTCAATGTGATTTGCACCTTTTTTCATAAGTTCCTCCGTTTATGCTGTATACTTGGACATTCATTCTTGGTACTCTTTGTGTCTATTTATTTACCTTTAGAAGTTTAAGTGTAAATTTTCCTTAACAAATGTATTTGTTACACCGACTCAAACCATATAAATACACGTAGTTTTCATTTTCGTTGTAACTTTATTTTTATCGTCATGACGTTGTACAAAAATATCGAAAATTTGAGATAAATAATGTCTTTCCAATAAATTCATTATTTCATAAGTATGAAGATACCAAGGACAGTAGGAAGCCATTAGTCAAATTACTAATAACCTTAAATGGTACCTATTGCACTGCACCAGTTGCGTATTTCAATAAACACTGTCTCATCAATAATGGGAAATACAAAAACTAAAATATGAACTCACCAAAGATTCCAGTCTTATAACTAAGTATGTCAGACGCGCGTTTTGTCGAAATAATAAGATTAATAAGTGACGCCGAAATACAAAAAAATTAAAAACCATTTTAAGGATGAAGTTGAAGAGCATTGAGAACCAAAAAATCAGTAAATTTATAAAAAAGAAAATGGCCATATCAATGATAGAATTTTAAATCTGCAAAAATACCGAAAAGAAATAAAATAAAGTTCAACCAGGAGAAGGAATCAAAGCTATACATAAGAGAGAAAGAAAAAAAACGCTCCTTAATTTCAAACAATTTCATTATTATTTTAAATGAAATTTCAAAGATAGCCAGACAACAAAAGGACAGAAACAAAGTTATAAACAACATAAGACAACAATCATGCAACACTTACTCAACATAAACCGAGAATTCAGATGTTCCGGAAGGATTAACAGAACATGCCTCAATAACTACACCCGTTGAATTGCCCATGTTTAATCCGACGGGGGCAAGTCTGTGATAATGCATAATACTGTATTAGTAGATGTTTCTGATCTTACTTTAAAACATAACCAAATCCATAAACCGTTAGTACAAGTAAACGTTTTAGTAACTTTCAGTATATCACCTAAAAATGCATGCACCCTTCAAACATTGTATAGCATACTTTTTCACAATATTGGTAATTTCTTATATACTTTACAGAGAATACCTCTCCAGTTCCATGTGTAGATAAGATTCCCAACTGTAACGAATATGATGCAGATCTTTGTACTAATCCACTCTATAGATTGTTTAGAGAGGATAACTGTCTGAAATTCTGTAATTTATGTAAAGGTGAGTTTAAAGTGATTATTCATTTTTATTCCAAATAACTATCACATGTAAACAAAAAGTGCATTTTGAGTTATACATACATTTATGCCTATGTGATATTCAACATTCGAAGTAATTTATTACTTGACACACACTACTTAAACATTTCTTAATTGGAAAGGCTTTGTTTTTTTAGGATATGGAAAAACCAATAGTCGATGATCTAATATATATGGTTTAAAGTATACTCAACACTGATAAATAAAACGCATTAATTATTTCTATAGATTCGATATGTATCTAATGAAACATTTTGTACCGTAAGTTAATTTTACATCATCTGCGTTGATAGAAATCGGACTAATGCTTATTGTGTCACATGATGTTTAAAACTATATAAATCCAATTGCATAAACTTTTATTTCAAACTGCCAAAAAAAAAAAGCCAAACGTTGCAAGACCATATCTGACGTCACAAAAAAAAATTATTCTACAGTTAACCTTATTCATTTTTTAGGTGGTTCTCCTACTGCACCATCACCAGGTAAAAGAGATTATGAAAAAGAAGATGAAACTATAGAATTTTACTAGGATTATAGCATTACTTACTCATTTTTCATATTAAAATGTATTTATCTCGCTTATGATTTTTTTTATTTTGTCTCACAAATATTCATAATGATGCTAATAATAAAAGTACGATTAAAGAACTATTTTACAAGCTGCTCGATAATTTGTGATTTATGTAAATGAGTTAGACTATATCCTATGTCAACTATTAACACCGAACACGTTTTGCGCGTAAAATTTGCATCTTTGAAATGGTATCACTATGTAGAAAGTTGGAATAAGAGTAATCACACAAACAATAAATTATTCTTAAATAATACCCACATCTTTTATTGATAAAATGTATTCAATTCATCATACACCTGTATTAGACGCATTGAATAACTAGATTCTTATGCAATTTCTCATGTGATACCACTCTTGATTTGATATGGTTTTGTTCAATCGTAGTTAGTATTGTCGTTTTGTTTTAAAAATTGTACAATTTACGAGTATTGTACTGTAATATGAATATCAATGTGGATTTGATTGTCGCAATTGCAGTTTGACATGGGACGCACAGCCAAATTGACGTTGGTAACCTTTTGAAAACAACACTATTATTCCCTAACTGTTAGGATGATGTATCAAATTGAGATTTAATTTAAATGAAATGAAAGGAAAGGTGAACGTTGCCCTCGTGTAATCAACGTAATTGTATTTGGTTTATATTTACAATATTCATATTTTTGTGTGAATGAACGTTAAAGGATATTGTTTTGAATCACTGCGTATTGATCGAAGGTTTTTAACTTTTGTTTTGAATATGTCTGCCAGCTATGTTGTAAAGGAAAGAAATTTGATAAGGTCTTGTAAGTTACATACTGTAACATTGCAGTTTGTCTGTCCAATACACGAATGGCAATACTAGTTGGTATGTGTGTTATCTTGCACTATACATATGCATGTACTAAGGGATTATTTTGTACTTGCTGTATTTCGTGACGTTACTGTTATCAAAAGTGGCTTCACAGTGAACTACTGTTGCTGTATATAATTTGATATGCACGTTTGGTACTTTTCTTGCTTTCATTACTAGGATTCATATCTGATTTCCATACTAGGACCTATTTATTTATTTTCATCGTTCTTTTATTTTCCTCTGGATACACCATTTTGGTTTCCTTTCAGGGAAATCATTTCATTATCGTATATCTTTTGTCTTCGTTATATCACAAGAAAACAGACAGGTACTTTAGAGACGTTCTTCCGGATAAATAATCATAAATACCCCTCAACGTTATTGATATAGAGGTAAAGGTGATACATACGATCGATATAGACCTCTTTTAGATAACACAATTACTAGATTTCATGTTTTAAGGAACTAACATATGCATTTGGGTGGTAATAAACTAAATTAGAATGGACGAAAGAGTTTATTTTTAAAGTTTTCTTGACATAAGAGGCAACCGTAGTTTATCGATGTTTCTCAGGCAAAATTGATCTTAGATGGATTTGGCTATTGTTACGGTCAGAAATCACCTTTAATTATACAATGTTACACGAAATATTATACAAATTGAAATGTAAACTTAACTGTTAAAATATATGTCAGATTATTTGTCTTTTCTTTATCCGGAATTCTTCTATTAACTGTACGGAATCCAATGAAATATATATGTCCAATAGGCTCACAATCTAGTATGATGTTGTTCGTAAATAAAAATGGCAATCCAACAACTCCAGAGAACTTCTGAGAATACAAGTATATTAATGTCCGATAAGTCTAATTTCGGTGTCTGTATATAATTATATAGTTGTCACGGAAACTTCTAGAACACTGTAGAAGAGAAACTCCTAGAAAATTAAAGACGTGAAAAATTCAAAAGCGTTTTGACAATTATCAATCAAGATGAATTTAGACTATTTCCGTAAAAGACGAGTCAATGGTTGAACAACAGTAGCAAAATTAGAACAGAATTTCCTGTAAAATCCAATCATGCCTAAATATCTCATAAATTGCTTTTTATTTGTAGGAGGAGAAAATTTGGTAATTGCATCCACTTTAGCCATAATAGGTTTCACTTGGCCTTGGGCAACTCTATGCCCTAAATAATCCACAATGGCCTGACAAAATTGGTAGCAAGTCATTTCGTACCTTAGACATTTCGTACCTCTGCCGTTTCGTTCCCAAAATTACCATTTCGTACCCAACATTTACCATTTCGTACCCACGATAAAAACCATTTCGTACCTCATGGACTATATACATGAAATGGTAAACATATAATTCTTCCATAAGGTACGAAATGGCGCGCATCAATGAGACAATTTTTACCAAGAAATCAAGAACATATAAATCTTCCATGAGGTAAGAGATTGCTTACATCTAAATCTTCCATGAGGTACGAAATTGCTAACATCTAAGTCTTCCATGAGGTACGGAATTGCTTACATCTAAATCTTTCATAAGGTACGAAATTGCTAACATCTAAATCTTCCATGAGGTACGAAATTGCTTACATCTAAATCTTCCATGAGGTACGAAATTGCTTACATCTAAATATTCCATGAGGTACGAAATTGCTTACATCTAAAACTTCAATGAGGTACGAAATTGCTTACATCTAAAACTTCCATGAGGTACGAAATTGCTTACATCTAAAACTTCCATGAGGTACGAAATTGCTTACATCTAAATCTTCCACGAAGTACGAAATGGCAAACATATAAACTTTCATTAGGTACGAAATGGTATACATATAAATTGTCCTTGAGGTACGAAATGGTATACATACTAATATTCCATGAGGTACAAAATGGTCAAGGTACGAAATGGTTTCCGCCAGGGTATGAAATTTCCTGTAAAATCCAATCATGCCAAAAAATCTCATAAGTTGTTTTTTATTTGTAGGAGAAGGGAATTTGGTAATTGCATCCACTTTAGACATAATAGGTTTCACTTGACCTTGGCCAACTGTATGCCCTAAATAATCAACAGTGGCCTGGCAAAATTCACTTTTACCAAGATTAACAGTCAAATTTGATTGTGACAATCTATCAAAAGTATCATATAAATGTGTTAAATGCTTTTCCCAGCTATCAGTACATACAATAAGATCATCAATATAAGCATAACAACAGTCTAAATCTTTTATAACATTATTGATCATTCTTTGGAATGTAGCTGGAGCACTTTTCATACCAAACGGCATGACAGTATACTGAAATAAACCATTTGGTGTGACAAAAGCTGATATTTCACGAGCTCTCTGTGTCAAGGGTACCTGCCAGTAACCTTTCAATAAATCAAATTTTCTCACAGATTTGTCTTGCCCAATGTTATCAATGCAGTCGTCTATCCCTGAAATCGGATAAGAATCAGATTTTGAAACAGAATTAATTTTTCTGAAATCAGTTACGAAACGAAAGGTTTTATCTGGTTTGGACACAAGGAGACAAGGAGAGTTCCCTTCACTGTTGCTCGCCTCAATAATATCATTGTCAAGCATATATCTAATTTCTTGTCTAATAAAATCAAGTTTTAGTGGATTTAGCCGGTAAGGATGTTACTTAATTGGAGAAGCATCGCCTACATTAACATCATTACAAACAGCATTGGTTTTGTTTGGCACATCTGGAAAAAAAATTAAAAGAAAATACCAAATTTTTCAATTTTTCTCTGCGATAGAAAGTCAGATGTGCAAGTTTTGAGACTAAATTTGACAAAATTTCTTAATTTTTTCAAACTTACTGTCTCTTTCATAGTCTTGGAATCAAAAGGTGGTTCAATTGTATCTGGTTTGTTATGATCGTTCTCCAGTTCTCCAATTTAACCATGGCTAAAAGTAGCAACTGGTTTTAATATATTAATGTGACACACTCTATTTTGTTTGCGCCTACCTTGAGTTTTTACAATATGATTCAAATCATTGATTTTACTCTCTATTGTATAAGGACCACAGTATTTAGCCTGTAAAGGATGTCCAGGTACCATATCACCAGGCTCAAAAACTCTGTCCCTGTCATCTTTATCATATTATATTTTCATCTTATTCTGAACAGCTGTTAAGTTTTTCTGAGCAATTTGACAAGCAGTATGCAATTTTTCTTTCAATCTAGATATATACATAGTCTAGAAGATTTAGTCAGTGTGTTCAGTAAGCAATTTTTCTTTAACCAATTTTTCCCATACAGTATGACCAAACACCAACTCAAAGGGGCTAAAACCAAGTGATTCTTGAACAGACTCTTGGACCGCAAAAAGTAGAAAGTAAACACCATCATCCCAGTCCCTGTCAAATTGAAGACAAAAAGTTCTAATCATGTTCTTCAATGTTTGATGAAAACGTTATAAGGCACTTTGAGATTCTGAATGATAAGCACTTGACCTATACTTAGCAATCCCTAACTGGTAAACGACCTACTGAATTAAACCTGACATGAAATTTTAACCCTGGTCGGACTTTATAGACTTAGTTTACGCAAGGTAGATTATGAATATTCCGGAATTATTATGCCAGTCAAATAGAAAGTTCTAATCATTCCATCAGTATCTATGATTGTTTCAGTGATTTATAAACTGCACAATTATAACATTATTTTGTAAACAACTATGTAAACATCTTATAACACAAAACAGAATAGGCCAAAATAAATAAATATGATAATTACAATATCATAACACTATTTTAAATGTCCTTTTTGGTCATATAGCTCTTAAACTGTTTCGGTTCTTCTACATTTCAAATATTCGGCTTTTAGCGTTCCTGATACAGGAAAATCCAGAAAAAGCGCTTTGGGCGCATGCAATTTATAATTCTTGTATTAATTTTTTTAATTTTTAAATACCTTTTCCAACCAAGATAATAAACCTGAGTGCATTGAAGGAATTGCATTCAGAGCGAGCAAGTGCGTCAATAGGGTACGTATCTCCTGTTGTACATGTCTAGCCCGCCATTCAAATCCTGACTCTGTAAAAAGATGTCACAACAGGGTTTAAGACACAACCTGTTTTTTTTCAGATAGGACGATAATTTCGGTGTCTTTATATGTTTGTCATTAATTCTATTTTTGTTTCAAATTGAAAGAAATATCCAGATATCAAGCAGCCCTTAAATATATAATGTAGACAATCTTTAAATGAGCACGAAAATGTGTTTGAAAAAAATGTAACAATATTGCTGCAAAATCTTCAATAATTGTGATTGAAAATATTTCAGTAGATCTTAATTCACATCCGATTTCCATCAACTTACCAAAATTCGTAAGTTTGAAATTAAGACAAATTATTTAAATTAGCTACACGTATTTGAATTGACCTTACCACAATCATTTTGAAGGCGATATTTAATTATTTTTCTGTTTGAACGATCGGTAGTAAGAATTTTAGCTAGGCGTTCAGTGAACCATCTGGAAGAACCTACACTATATATATATATACCAATCTTTTTAAAAAGATAATTGTGATTGTTTTGGTATAAATATATGTTAATAGCAAAGAAGAGAAGGCTAAAATGTTTTTTTTTCTAAAATAGTCTCTTTCTTTTCAAATGTAAAATGTAAACAAATTCTTAAGTTGATTAGAAAATATAGACCGACGCTATTATTTTCGATAAATTTGGAATTCAAACTTAACAACTTTATATCTGTTATAAAAGGCGAATTCAAATTATAAACCTATGTATAGAAAGAGATAATAGTTTAGCAGTACATTAGTTATTTCTTTCCTTTATTTGTCTATCTTCTAAAATACCTATGACAATAGAGGTGACTTCATCAGCAACCGGAGTTATGAACAAATAACAACTACCTTCTTGGAACCCTGCTTGAGTTGGATGGAAATCAAGTTTTGTGGGTCGATGCCACTGCTGGTTTAGATTTCTCCCCCAGGGTATTACAAGCCCAGTAGTCAGCACTTCTGTGTTGGCATGGATTATCATTGATATGGTCATAATTATAAATTAACTGATTCTAAACTTTAAATTTTTCAAAATACTAAGGATTTTCTACCCCAGGAATAGATACCCTCAACTTTATTTGACAAAATCTTTCGGAATTTCTGGTCGTCAATGCGCTTTAACTTCGTAATTTATTTGGCCATTTTAACGTTTTTAATTGGAGCGTCACTGATATGTCTTTTGTAGACGAAACACGCGTCTGGCGTACAAAATTTTAATCCTGGTATCTATGATGAGTTTATTTATAAAATGAATATACTTATAAATTTTTCCATCAATAGTTCCGTCTAAGCCACTTTTGATGTCCTCGAAGATAAATCTATCAGCAGTAAAATCAACCATTGGTCAAATTATATAACCTCATTTTCAAAAACAATGTTGGTGTCATAAAGTGTAATTTGCTGCATACCAACGGGCGGTCATACGCATTATCATTACACCACACTTTTTCTCGATGCCCTTCGATTCAAACAATGACTTTTCAAAGTGAAGTAACTGTTTTAAGTATCGTCACCGAACTGATAATGCATCAATATTTATACGTTGAAGGGATTTATTTGTCACTCTTCATATAAGAAGATATAAGAAGATTAGTCCACATCCAGTTTGCTTAACTTGAAACTCATTAAATATTGCAAAAGTGAGGCGAAAGATACCAAAGAGATATTCTAACTTATAAGTCGCAAACAAACTGACAACGTTATGGCTAAAAAAGAAATAGACCAACAGACAAACAACAGTACACAAAACACACAACATTGAAAACTAAAGACTGAGCAACATGAACCCCACCAAAAACTGGGGGTGATCTCAGGGGCTCCTGAAAGGTAAGCAGATCCTGCTCCGCGTGTGGCACCCGTCGTGTTGCTCATGTTTGTACAAACCCGGTGATAAGTCTAATTTTGTAGAAAATAAAGGCAACAGTAGTATACCGCTGTTCAATAGTCATAAATCGATTAAGCGAAAACAACTCCGGGTCACAAACCAAAACCGAGGGAAACACATCAACTATAAGAGGAACACAACGGAACACCAGAAACACTGAACTTCAACAAAAACAAACGCTAACATACATAGAAACGGACTAGTTAATAACAACTGCCATATTCCTGACTTGATACAGGACATTTTAAGACAAAATGGTGGGTTGAACCTGGTTTTATGGCTAGCCAAACCTCCTGCTTATATGGCAATGTTAAAAATATCGCTAAAATGACAACATTACGTGACAGGAATACAGTACAAATAAATGCAAGAACACTCAGGACAGAGAAACACATAAACAAAGAGTATAATAGTACATTACAACATGTTAACCATAAAATAACAACGGACACCTCCCATGAATCCACGACAGCACACCAGTACACCACCAACATATTATAAACAGTCACGTTAGGGGAAAAAGGACAGAATTGCAGTTACGACAATGGGAACATATCCGTTGTCATCTGTGAAATAGATTACCATAACGGTCAACCAACTCATGATGGCGTCCGTAAAATTTACGAAGGGATGATTTCATCTTCACCACTTGGATTTTGTACCCATTTTGTACTAACATCAGCAAGACGATGGTTGCCACATATGGAGCAGGATCTGCTTACTCTTTCGGAGCACCTGAGACCACCCCCAGTTTTTGGTGGGGTTCGGGTTGCTCAGTCTTTAGATTTCTATGTTGTGTTTTGTGTACTGTTGTTTGTTTGTCTTTTTCTTTTTGGCCATGGCGTTGTCAGTTTGAATGTCCCTTTGGTATCCTTCGCCTCTCTTTTGGAACTCTTGGTTTAATTGCTTCCTTGTGAGCAGCAACCCTCTATCAAGGAAATTATGATAAGAAATACAAGCTCTGGAATATCTTATCAACTGGGAGATGTATACTCCGTATGCAGGCACTGCTGGAATGTTGCTACATAGAAATGGAAAGTTCACTATTGGGAAGCTGACAACATCTCTTTTGTTGTAAAGGATACAAACAAAAAATTCTCTGAAACTGACATTATCAAGATGCTTAATTTTTTTTTATTGATTGACAGCGTATTTGTTACGTTTGGAGGACGTGAGAAATGCTTGTGTAAAGAGTAGAAAAGTCAAATGTTTTAATACTAATGCAAGATGAAAAAGTCCTAGATTGAATGTACTCTAAAAGATCTTTGGAATTTCAAGTATCTACATCTGATTCACGCCACCTATAGAATATGCAGTTTCACAATAACTTTGAAGCCCTGCTTTGAGTGCTGATAAAATTGATGTTAATAAGTAGGAAGGAGGTTTAGTGGAGAACTTGGAAGACCCAGCAATATCACGTTGTTTGTAAGCACACTAATTTGGTATCCAATACAGTGAAAGAATATCTAGTTCTTTATCTTTGGTTGAAGTTCTAAAGGAACATAGAACAGACCTATGCTTATCCAGGATCTCCTTCTTGGTAAGTGTCGGTTGGGTATATGTTGAGTTTCCAAGTAAATTGTTAATAACTTACTTATTTATCAAGCAGTTTATGTAATATGATTTACACAAATAATAAAAACGATGTTGTTTGGGGCTTTATCTGCGGGAAAAACAATATATTTGTCATGGAGATAGGACAGGTGTTTTGTAACCTTTGGGTCTTTTAAAGATTGATGTCGCATAGGTATTCATAGACCCATTCAGTTTTTTCTAATTCTGATTTGTATCAACGACCTCACACCCTTAATCCATTCGGAAAAAGTATCGATGTCTTCTTTCTCGCGTTTAACCCAATGCCTGGAATAATCCTGGACTGAATCCATCAGTATTTTGAAGTTGTGTATCCAGTTGATGCATTTAGGCTCACGATATTTCGGGCCTTTGGATAACACATTTCGCAGAGAAGTATTATTGACAATGTTAAGGTCACCAGTAATAACGTGGACAGTCGGATTATATATGAACGGGGAACTAGCACAGATGCAATCAGGAGGTTGAGACTTGAAGTCGTCAATATTGAGATCCTGCAACACATGTTTGTAATTGAAAATTTTAGTTGCAATTGGTTTGGTATAGGCTTAAGAAATGATAGGTACAGACTGATCTTTAAAATAGGGCGGTATTTTCGAGTGAACTGATTTATGATGAAGGATATTGCCCAAGTTGATTGCATCGAGACCTTTGTTGGCAAAGGAAAGTTTTAGAAAGGATATGTTAACTTTTCATCCTTTCCAATGCAAACTGGTTTTGTTTATGTAGAAGTTTTGGTTTTGTAGAAGTTTTCCATGTTTGGACACCAATGTGTATTGATAAACGTATAATACCGATTTCAGTGTTTCTTGGTTTACCTTACATAAGGTTGGAAATCCAAGTAAATTTTGAAATGTGATATCATTGCCAATGAAAAACAATATCATGAAAGACTATGATCAATATGCTTTTTTGTCGTAGGAATTTATTGATGTACTGTATATATAATCAATCAATAAGGAAATATAAGTTCACGGTAATAACTATAGCAAAAGATGGAATATTAGATATATGTTGTCAGCTTTGCATTCAATTTCAAATTATAACAGGCAATCAGTAAGATATTTACTTGAACGTTGAACAAATTCAAAACACACAAAGGAATTAAACTGACTACTTAGACTACTAGGAACAATTTAGAACATCAGCAATGATATCATTGTCTTAAATTAAGTATCTTTGAATAGATACTTAGATTTTTGGAAGGTTTGATAGGTATTGCTGAGTTTCAAAAATCTCAAAGAAGTGATGTTTAAGTAAAAATGCATATCTAAGCACAAAGTGATGGACTTTTTTTTTTGAAAGAAGGATTTTCAACCACCTTATAATATGCCAGAACTTTATGTAAATCTAAACTAATATGTAACCATGACTGTTTCGTCATCTGCAATGATGCTTAAAGGAAAAGAAAAACGCTTTAGAATATCTCGTTCAAATGAAAATAAATAATACATGCATTTCAAGAACCCAGACGATGTGCATACATTCACGAATATGTCATTATACAGGGTGATAGGTGAATAAAAAGGACAAGGAAAATCAGATTTGTTTTCCATTTTTAATGATCATGTTTCCATATAATGCATGATAAATAATTAATTATTTACCAGGTAGAGGAGGGGCCAGTGTACCTACAAGTAAAAAAGAATGGACATTGAAATATAACTGACAGTAATTACAGAAATATAACATTTGAAACATACAATAAGCTACCCGCTGAATCAAGATTAGTCAAAATAAGTCTCACAATATGATTTGGTAGTTAAGTGCTGTTTTGAAAGCAATTATTTTTATCTTTAAAAAAAATAATTTTCTTTTTTGACTAGGTTAACCTTTGTCAAAAATGAATGTATGAAATGGATATCGCTAACTCATTGCAGCATCTGTTTTATCAACAACAAAAAATTAAGAATTTAAATAATTCCGTCATATAATGTTAGTATTCTTACAATTTTGTGCAAATGAAGATTATATGTAGTTACACAAATAAAGCGTTAAACATTGTACTAAAAAAACTAAGTCTAACAGATAACTAAAAACCAATACATAAGGTAATGAAAAAGATACCTAGTCCTTGTCTCAAATATCGGTAACTGTTGCCAACGGAGAGATGTCATTAAGAGTCCCATTTGATCCCAACTTTTTTATGCAAATTAAAACTCTATCTGTGCCGATTTTTTTTAATCGTTTTGTATATATTATATGTAATAAGATTAATGTTAAGAGTTTATAAAAACAGGCAACGCGTTTGCTACCTGATGAGGATTACAATTTATTATGCTTGCAAAATGTATCTGTATTATTTATTGATATCTGTAGTAAAAATATTCTGTAAGCAGTTTGGCCGATATAGAGTTTAACGACCGTTCTTTACCGTCATCAGATTGAATGGGAACAGAACCATCATACTCACCAAATTGCTCATCATATCTTGTGAAGAGGAGTATAACATCATTAAAACGTACCTGAAGGGGTAGGTTGATTTCCTGGAGCATGTGGAAGCGGCGGTGCAAATGTTGGAACAGGAGCCACAGATGGTTGATTACCTACAGTGTCATTGCAATGTTAAGTTACGAGTGTTACATATGGTTGATTACATACAGTGCCATGACAATGTTAAGTTACAAATCACAACAGTCTGACAATATTCTAAAACAGTATTGAGTCGTTATTTCCAATTTTATTGTGAATTAATAATTTTGTATTTTGTATCATATTGGAAAATTTAAATTCAGCAAGTTGTAAAAAATATCATAATTCTATGATCTGAAATTCGAATACATGCTACTTGTTGCCCCCCCCCCCCCCCCAAAAAAAAGGAAAATTATTGGAAGCTTCTCCAGAAATAAAATGGTTTTGCTTAAATTTTAAACTATTAATAACTGAGCTTACCTTATCTTAAGATATATAACATTCAAATTTATAAGCTGCACAGTACATTAATACACATTTGGGTAACAGGGAAGTCAACAACACAGTGTTTACAAACAAAAAGCAAAACAAAGCATGGATTTAACGGATAGAAAAAACAAACATCAGTCTGATTACTATATATACAAAATAACCAATAGTGGTATAATTGATTTTTATACCAACATACAAAAAGATCGTTAAATGAAAGGAAATAGTTAAATTAAAAATTGCATATAGTTATTGTTTAAAAAATGTCGGAATTTCAAAATAATTCGTGTAGAAAAAAAATTTTATACATAATTTGTAGACGGCCGGTAATCGTCTGCTTACCACTACTACTTCCATCAGAGCAGAAACCACAATATTTATTACAGTTTTCCTCCGCCCATTCTTTGTACTTAATGTCTGTACATGTATCCTTTTCATACTGATTACAATTGGGTATACCATCTATACATGGTGGTGCAGGTGTGGGTAGACCTATAAAAAAGACACAAAAATGTAATATGTCAAGTATTAATTCATATCCAGTTAATGCAATCAGCAGACGAGCTATTACCAGACCATTTTCTGCTATAAACCGAAGCGATATGATTATCTTCATTATAAACGAAGTAATAAATCATTTACTGACAATTATCTTTTACTTTCGTATTTACTTATCGTTTTAGTAAGTGTTTTTTTCAAACCTTTTTACAGCTATATTAACTGACTGATCAGTAAGTTTGACTTAACTGATAAAGAACAACTTATCAATAAGCAGTTTAAATCTCGTACTGACTATTCTACTGTTGGCGCTATATTTGTATTGCACGATATCATTACATTTATTCTACTATATTGCGCATTCGCTAATTCCCGTAAGGCAAGGATATTTGGTTACTTCAATGGTACAAACTATTACAAAGCGGTGTTAGCACAAAATGTATTCAATACTTTAGGCTGTCTTCAAAACTGTTCGTTATCGAGTTCGCAGCGAATGTGAATTTTCCGAGGTTTTCGTCAATTATTTTGCGGGAAAATACAGAGTGAACTGATATTTCCTCTGTTATTTTAATTTCTTTTATAACTGACATAATACAAGATGTGCCAATTGATAATATTCAGGGATATCTGATTTGTTTGCAAACGATACTGTCCTATTCTTAAGATATGTCAAAACATTAAAAATCTAACTAAAAAACACCAATTTATTGTAAAAAGTGTATTATAGTTGTTAATGTAGACATGACCGAATGCTATGGTTTTCAGAAATGATTGGCAGCCGGCTGTAGTTTAATGTAAGCTTTATATAGGATGCTTGTTGGCCTGTCGACAATTTCGAACGGATCAAGATTCATTTTGATCTGATTTTATCAATGTTCCTAAACTAACATTGTATTGCAAATTAAGTAGTCTAATGAACTTAGGTTTCATAAACCAAAAGTTTTATTCAATTGTGTCGATTTTCTGACGAACTAGTTGTGTGGTATTTGTCAAACGTCGAAAATTGTCAGAAGAGGTCGTTAAAGATAAGACACGAGGAGCAAGCTAGAGTCCCATTCAAAAAAATCAAAATTAAAACACTTTATATAGTTCATGTATCCGAAGCGATATTCTGGATTTACCTTCAACAGGAACGACCAAAACAAAACATTTGCAAGCCAGAAATGTATAAATACATGTAGGCAGAAACATAAGCAACTGTATAACCTAAAGGAACATAAAGAATCGCTAAATTAATCTAAGGTTAACTTTGCCTGAGGGAGTTGGAAATTTAGTTTTTTTTCAACGGCGAATTTTAGAAAATATGTTAGTTTTAATCATGTCAGCATTGAAGCAATGGCTACTTAGCTGATAATGCCATAGGGAACTAAGAGTCCATCAGCAGTGGAATCGACCCAGTGCTAGAAAGGAAAACACGTTATAAATTTCGTATATACGAAATCGAAACAATTTTCTTTTTTTTATCTTTACCAAGAATGCTCAAACCTAAACATTTGAAAGCCATGGATGCATAGATACGAAGAAACGTTAGGAGCTATTTGACCAAACGAAATAAAACTATCTATGGTATTTTGTTTAGAAACAAATGTGTTACAGTTTGTACATGTTTAATTTCAATTCAAGCAATCTCAAGTATTTCTTCATGAACCTTGTACGTACAATTCAATTTTACTTCTGTAATGATGTTGACATGTCGGTATACAGAAGAGAAGGGTCGGTAAGTTTTGAGAGAAAATATGTGACTGTTCATCGATATCCGCAAAATGCTTCCTGTTAGATAAATATTGTTACTGTGAGAAACAAGTTCGTAGTGATTATACCGCGTAACAGAAAATTGCTCTTTTTAAAACTATTGCTATTTTGTGTATACTTACCTTGGCAGAATCCACAAAAACGGTTACAGTTCTCCCTACCCCAGGTGCTGTATTGCCCTTTACACGAATCTTTACCATACAGTTTACAGTCATGACGTTTATCTACGCATACTACAAAATAAACATGAAACGTTCAGTAGTTTACAAAACAAGCGTAAACTAATTATCTGTTTCTTTTTTCCATCATTATGATTATTGTGGGTTTTTTTTATCTAACCTTTTCTAATAATATCAAGGACATGTTGATATTGCTTCTTATATCATGTGTCTCTTTTTCTTTTCTTGATTTTGCTTACGTTGGTGTCATTTTATATTGTTTCTTTTCTTTCTTTAACATAGTACAATATCCTGATCAGGATATATTTAGTAGACTGGAAACCTGCTCAACAAATCAATAGTACATATAAGGAAGTAAACGCCACCAGATGTGATACGGATACCCATTCAGGATATCAATCTTATATATTGCACTATTCGTGTGTGTAAATTCTGTCCTAAACGCATTGCTTATTGATGATTTGGTTTGCTATGCAGTCTGATTTTTTTTTCAGTTATATTATAATTTTGTATACTACTTTCAGATAAGGTATAGTTATATTTCTTTCATTTAGAATGAAATTTATAGCAAATCAACATGTGTTATCGGAACAGAGAATATGAGTTAAATTTTTTGAACACTAAGCAAGAATCGTACAAAAATATCGATTGCAAAACGCCAATGAGTTGAAGTTTAAATTAAATAGACAAATGAGTACTACTGTGATGTTGCGTAGTATCCATATAGACATTACAGACTCACAACAAGGTAAATGATCACTGAAAAGGCAAAGATGCTTATTCGGACACCCACCCTCTTCCAGTTAATTTCAAATTGAAAAACACAAATGAATGATGTATAAAATTATGTATATACACAAATGTGGAAAAACACTCAAACACTTAGCAATAAAAACGAACAATTAATAAGATTTCTATATTAAAATTTGTATTGATGGATTGATGTTTGCTCAACCTCTAATTGCAAATTTTATATGCATATTCAGGACGAAAACTACACGTAATACAAATTATAGGTTCTTCTTAGTGCTTCAACCATGATGAAATTTAGACAGCTACTGGAAAAGAGATTATTTTGGCTAGGCACAATAATCTTACCTCGCAACAGGCATATATTTGTTACAATGGTTTCTAAACGTGAAGAGAGTGTGGAACTCCACCTACATGAGGCATCGGAGTTCACGTCATTTATACATCACAAACAGCCAAACCGACGCCCACCTCTAACATGGGTTTTATTGTCTGAGGAGAGAAGACAAGTTGACTAAAATTCTATACACCAGTCAACCCTTAGGGTATTATGATTATTCACTTTAATGACTTGACAAATTGGCAGATGTGGTAATCAGTGAAGCATATGTGAATATAAACATAAGTACGTGTAAGGACGTGTCTATCGACTGTTAGTTGTGCAGAAACTTAGTGTGTATAAATATATATATATTATAAAACAGAAATAACCAAATAAAACTGTAGACTGTGTAATACATATATTTTTTGCTTTTCTTTGTGAAATGTTTATACTTACATGCTGGTGGCAAAGTTGTTATTTGACTGTCTTTTATTATTAGCTGGCCCGCTAAAGAAAAGTATTTTTGTAATAAGCATCTTTATGAATATGGCAATGGCGAATACTATTTTACATAATTTTTGTTAAGTATTTTAAGCAATAAAAATTAAACAAAATATTCAATAAATAATGTAATACTGTATTTATTTTTATTATTTTATTTGATATTCAAAGTATTTGCTTACGGACGGTTAAAACCATAAATATATTGTGACTTGGGATTAAGGAAATATTGTCTGCCGATTTTTAAAAGAAAATAAAGAAATAAATTTATAAAAACCTTCTTCTGTTCAAATACAACATTACTACTTAAACGAAACTCGACATTTCTGACATTTCCTGTAATTATGGTTTAAATCCGTCTTTCAATTTTTAGCTAAATAACTTAATTATATGCAAACATCTCATGTGCTAAACAAAAATGCTATATTTTCAAATATTTGAAATTAACCATATTAAAAATCAGAATATTGCCTTAATTCTAATAAGTCTAATAAATCAAATAAAATCTAATTCACTTAATAAGTGTTTTACTTGACAATTATGAATCAGGGGGCCATGTCAATGAAAGTATCATAGGATATGTCCTTGGATATGTCTTGGACTTTAATTAGGATGATCTTAGGACGTGTCCGAGACATGTCTAAGGATGTAAAACAAAGCTAGCTTAAAACAGTCCTGACTACGATTGACCTTGGACTATGCTAACACATTTATTTAATTGATAAAAATATGTAGAGAATGAAATGAAATATATTTTAATGTATTTAGTGCATATGTAAAGGGCGGGAGGTTGCACATTTTATGAAATAAGAAAATAACGCAAAATAAAATTTTTACTTAATACTAATAGATACATTATCATAAACTTTTAAGACTAAAAATTAATTCCATACAACAACTAAACTAAATTATCACAAAACTCTGTTTGAGGCTATTATCTTGCTGCAATCTATTTTTTAAAAACTAGTTTTGTCCTTAAGTCTTGTAAAATTTATTACATGTATTGCATCAGCCTTAGAAAGAAAAGAAGTCCATTTTTTTCCTGTAACCGAAAGTCAAATGTTTTCCACATTTCAATTATTGTTGTACCATTTGATCAGGTGCAAAAAATGTTGCTTTTTTTGGTAGAATTTTTAAGCTTCATAAAAGGGCAGAACGAAATATTTTAAATGAGCATAATAGTATGACATCGTCAACTTAGTTCTAGAACAACCAGCCAAAGTATTTGTAATATGCTTTTTGTTTCAAAATAAATAAATAAAAACTGAATGCTATAAACGCTCCTTGTTGATATCTGGAAGTATTTTATGGAACAATTTGTTTACAAATTTAAAACAATGTAACACAATTGAATCTTGAAAAAAACATATATTTGATAATAATTTGTTTAAACCTAATAACATTATAATAGTTTAACATTTACATTAGAATTTTTATTATAAAATTTTATACATTATGTTGTAATATATGTATATTATACAGGACCTCATTGTAAAAGAGATCAGAAAGGTACCAAAGGCACATTCAAACTCGAAAATAAACTGACAACATCATAGCAAAAAAAAAAAAGACCAAAGGACAACTAACTCAACATAGAAAACTAAAGTCTGAGCAACACGAATCCCACAAAAAACCGACGGTGATCTCAGTTGCTCCTGAAAGGTAAGCAGATCCTGCTCCACGTGTGGTATCCATCGTGTTGCTCATGTTAGTACAAAACCTTTGGTAAGTCTAATTTTGTAGAGAGTGATCTCAGTTGCTCTGATAGGGTAAGCAGATCATGCTCATCACGTTGCACCCCATCCCACGTGTTTCTTAATTATTATTTGGTAGATCACATTCGGGGAAAAGGTCCGGATTTTTGTTGTTAACTAGTCTTTCGACTAAATATGTTATCCTGTTGAAATAAAGGAAATTATTATTATTAAAATTAAACTCTGCTTGCCGAAGAAAATAGCATAGGGGAACTTCATTCAGCAAGCTATCATATGTGGCGACGAATAATTTTAAGGAGTAGGGGGAGAAGGAGGATTTTTTCCGGATTGACCATTTATTTTCATTTTTTGTTACGCATGCTTATTTTGCAGAATCTTCATTTTTATCCTGTCTTGTGCAAAATTCTTTATTTTCAGTTTTTATCAGGCCAAGTATTTTATTTTCAACATCAACCTGCCCTCCACCACCGCCAGAAAAAACAATTGTTTGTCCAATTACGTTAATTACATTCAAACATATGATTTGGAATACTTGTATTTTTGGACTTACGTGAACAAAGTCGGCAGTAGTACCGACAACTATCATAGGCCCATTGTCTGTATGCATCCTCAGTACACACAGTTTTTTGGTATTTCTCGCAATCAGGTTTGGTGTTCTCACAAGGTGGTAATGGGGTTGTTGGACCTTCATAAAACGAATAAACATTTCACTAAAACAAAAACTCGTGTTGGAGTTGGTTCTCCAGAGTATTCGTTTTTTTAAATAGCCAATTCCGAATGTTGGCGGCACGTTAGCTAGTAGTACCAATTGATTTGAAGTAACAAAATAATTTTCTCAGTATTTTTTTCTGGGAGCTTTCTTTTTTGAAAATAAATACTGGAGACGTAAATGAACTTAGAATTCCCACAACAACAGAAAATTGTATAGTGGGTTACATTCTTTATGTATTTTGTTTGTTTCTATAATGATGGTCTTACCTACGCAGAATCCACAAAAGTTTGGACAGTAATCTTTTGCCCATTTTTCATATGGTGCTAGACAAGAATCTTTTTTAAATGCAAAACAATTGGGTAATCTGTCTTTACATTCTGAAATAGAATTAAACAAGTATTTTAAAATTAAAGTTGGAAAGAACAGATTTAAACAAGGTTTATAACGAAACACGCTTGCACATGCAAACAAACATTGTACGTGGGGTACCAGGCAGCGATAAGGATAATTTTGCACTGAAAATCTTAAACCAATTTTGATCTGAATCAGTTCTTTAAAGACTGAACAATAAATGATTAAGAACTTGTCAGTCTTTCAGATAACTTTTAGACTTATTCAGTTAGGTAAATATCGTACTGTTCTGTCAATTGGCTTGCAGTCAATAAAGATCTGTTCAGTCTGTGTTCAGACTGTTCGGTACTTAACTTAACCTCTACACAAAAATAATTTACTGATTTGTCTGAAAAGTTACTGAACAGTGCTGAATTTACCACAGTCGCTTATCAAAATTATCTGAAAGAATGAACATGACGACCGTTCAAGGCTAACATCCCTCTACTAAAAGATCTGAATTGCTTTTATTTCTCTATAGGGATTTATATGATACAACTCTTATAAGCAATCAAGTCAAAATAAAAGTACGTGTACGTCATAAAAAAAACCTTCAGTCGCAACCAGAGCGAATGACGGCGAATCTTGAAAAGATTTGCGGAGTTACAATTAGACCGCGTGGGTGAACTAGCTTCATAACAGAAATTCCCCCAGGTTTGTCTATTTAACTAATAATCCTATCAGGATTTATTCACTTGAGTTTGTATAAGTCGTATTCACTCTCAATTGATATCTTGAAATGAAAAGAAGAAAAAATTAAAACAACACGTTATAAATTTCATGCGTCCGAAGCGCTTTTCTTGATTTACCTTCATCAGGATATGAAGAAGATATGCGTTTTCATACGTATAAGCATTTATAACAAATTCATTCAAATGAATCATGGAGCTTTTGATAATTTAAAACAAAATGTAATATTAAATCCAAATGGTCTTATTTATTTTAAACACCACACAGTATAGTCAGCATGAAACACGTCGCCCCGCAGAACACTTCTTCGAAAGTGGACGGGATTGATGCTGTTTATGAATGACTACAAGGACCAACAACAAAATGTGATGAGACAAATTCATAGTCCAGATTTTTGTTCGATTAAATATTAATGTCACAGCGTAAGTACCTTGTCACTCTTAGACCTTTCCTTTTTGAATTTTCCTCGAAGTTCAGTATTTTTGTGATTTTACTTTTTTGTACGTAACCTTAAATGTATCTTTATATCAACTGATGAAAAGGAGACCTACTGTTTACCATCGTTTAAAATATTTTATTTTATTTAAAATTTTGGCCAAAATGAAACATTTACGCTCTCCAAAATGGCAAAGAATAAAAATATTGATATAAATAAAGGCAACAGTAGTATACCGCTGTTCGAAATTCATAAATCAATTGAGAAAAAACAAATCCGGGTTACAAACTAAAACTGAGGGAAACACATCAAATATAAGAGGAGAACAAAGACACAACAGAAACACTAAAATGCAACACACACAGAAACGAACTATAAGATATCAATAGCCATTTTCCTGACTTCGTACAGGACAGTTTAAGAAAAAATAGTGGGTTTAACCTGGTTTTGTGGCTAGCCAAACCTCCCGCTTTAATGGCAATGTTAAATATAACACTAAAATGACAACATAACATGACAGGACTACAGTACAAATAAATGGAAGAACATACAGGACAGAGAAACACACAAATAAACAATACAATAGAACATTACGACAAGCTAATAGTTATTAAAGGTGCCAGTCCTAAAGATGAAGAGCATTGATGACCCAAAATTCCAAAAAGTTGTGCCAAATACGGCTAGGTTATCTGCCTGGAAAAAGAAAATATTTAGTATTTAGAATAATTCATATTTTTGCAAACAGTCAATTTATAAAATATAACAATGACCATATAATTGATATACATGTTAACATCGAAGTGGTGACTAACTTCAGAATAAAAACGAATACGTAAAACAATCTAGATAAGCACATAAAAACAGCACAGCCGAACAACGCATTGTATGTCAGCCGAATAGATCGACGCACAAAAGTGACGTCACAGGTAAATTTCTAAAAATTTCCAAAAAATTGGATAGAGTTCAAGATTATGTTTGTAATACTGATATTACATGTATTTAATAACAATGAAAATTACAATACTTATTAATATAAAATTGTGTTAGTAATTAGATAATTAATTGTATTATCTAGCTATGTCGGTATTTCTTCTAAATCGAACTGAAAACCAAATACATAGTGTAAGTTTAGTTGACCAAATTCTAAAATCTTATAAATGAACTGGGTGATAAATTATCTTTACCCGCACACACGAATAGAACAGAAAAAAGTAAGAATTACAACTATAAACGATAAGACATTTGACAATAACAGATATAACATCAAAACTAAATACATGAATTTTGGATAGCAAAATACCGTGACACGTCTTATAGCAATGCGAATTCACACTCAGCAAAACAGTCACAATCGGGAATAGGTCACGTTCGGTACTTAAAAGATCAGACGACGTAATGGCAAACCACAATCTAAGACGTGGTAAAAATGTCCTTAGTTAGTTTGGACAAAGGCACATCGTATGGATCAACCAATTCGTGATGGTGTCCATAAAATTTACAGAGTGTCATTTTTAATCTTTCCTTTTAATTCTTATCATGCACAAAATTGTAAGCCATTCTTGAAATAACTGTTATCTATCGTTCAGGACCCCGTTGTTCATCTCTTGGTTAAATATAATCTTTGGTTCAATATATACAGGGTTTAATCTTCTAACTGAGGGTTACGTAACCAAGATTTAAAAATTAAGTTGTTCAACTTCTTTTTAACTCTTGGTTACGTAACATATGGTTAAATTTTCAGTGGATGTAAATTTTTATCAAATTAAGAATTATCAACACTTTTCTCCGGTACGAGAAAAAAATGTTTGTTTAATAAATATGGTATCTTATTAAAAACAATACGCTTTCTAAGTTCATTAAATAGTACAACAACGACGCGGACGTGACAGAGAGCACCTTTTGTTTAAAAAGAAGCGTTTATCGTAAATTATTTGATTATACTGTAGAGATATACATTATCTTACTAAAAGATGTTTAATTTTGCTGCATCAATTTTTTTATTTATATAGATGACAAATAATTTGCATTTGAAAAGTTAGACAATATGAAAGTAAACATCGATGCAAAAAGGGGGAAGGACTGTAAAACGTATTCATTAGTTTTTGATTACTATTGGTAATAGAAAACAAAAAATATGTTGTATCAAACGTTTAGTTTCCTTTCGAATATAGTTTTAAACAGGGAAGCGTTCTTTTAGACAAAACTATTTATTGATTGAAACTTTATCCGAGGTCCGCAGCAAGGTTTAATCTGAATCATGTAACAAAGGATTTAACAAAGGCTTAAATTTAAACACAGGATGAACAACAGAAATTAACCTTATGATATTTAACCCTTGGTTAAAATTTAACCAAGAGATGAACAACCGGATCCAGGATGTTAATTCATGAAAGAAACATCTGAGTCAATTGAAATTGGTGATATGATATTTGCATAAAGAATAATGTGTTATGGAAAGCATAAGGGGAGGGGAAATGCTGATCATTCTTTGCACTCGAACACACTGGGAATTATATGCATATAATAGCAACTTTCATAACTATTTTCCTCTCGAACAAAAGTCAACACTTACCGATAATTTATGCGTTTGAATATACCGATTATATAATAGCTATCAACATTACGTCAACAAATGTTTATTATTCTTTCTTTATGTTAAAGATTAATTTTCAAATTGTCGATACATTGGTTGAATACATTTACTACTTTAGTTGCATTTATTCCCCCTCAATTTTTTAAGTTTACCTGATAAATGCCAAAATGAAAAGGGTGTACGCAAATTTAATTACTGAAGTTTTCATTCTGACATCACAATAACACAAGTTTAAGGAAACCGTTAATTTGGCAGATTTCTAGCACGACACCCATATTTTATTTAAATCTGTTACATTTTATTTAATACATGCTTTTGTATAAGAATTCCGCTCAAACCGGTGCAAGTAGCCGTCTTAAACTTGCAATGAGGTGAGAGTTTTTTTTTGCTCAGTGTTGAAGGCCTTACTGTCTCTTTCAGATTAAAAAAAAAACAATACAAGCGTTGTTCCTTTGCTTTTTGTGTGTTTTGTTGTGCATGTACTGATTTTGTGTCATGAATGGATACCCCATACTAAAGTATACTTTCTTTTCTATTATAAAAAAGTTTCTTTCATATTTTTTGCATTGTTATTCCTTACAAATGTTTTTAAGGGCATTGTACAAGATCATGTCTTCCTGTCCTGTTAATGACTTCGCTGCATTAAATCTACTCAGAAGTACCGACTCCGACACTTTATAGTGTAGGACGGCAACATACCATATCAGCAATTGAGAAACGAGTTTCCTTTCTTGCTTTCCATAACTAAGCATTTATTGATGCAGTAGTATTCATTATTATTATAATTCTGGTTCAAATTCTAGTTGTTCTTTAGTTAATACGAGGATGACACATGACTCAACGGACAACTTTATTTTAAATGTTATCCTATCGTGCAGAGGAATCAATTATATAATAGTCCCTGTAATAAACAATTATAGATCTATTAAAGGATATAGTTTAATTTTAAATCAATAATTTAAAAGACAATTGTTTTAATTTTAAATCAGTTATTAAAAGGACAATAATAACAGAATATTCAGTATAATAAATTAAATAATTTTATATACTGGAGATTATCCCTTCTAGTTTGCCTCGATTGACCATGTTTTCACATGGCAAATATCTGTTCTATCACCCTCTCATCTGTGTATGATGTATTTATTGTTGTCCTTGCTTTTTGTTTACTAAAATAGTAGTATAATAGAGTTATTATTGATATTTATTTTTTTATTCGATTTGCATTATGTTCCGAGTTTGAAATGGAAAGATTGAGTGCTTAAAGAAACTACATTAGAGTTTAGCCACTGCACATGTCCATACGCGTGTCCTTACTCAGGAACCTCGTAATTGGCTGTCTTTAGTGATATCTTAATGTTTTCTTTTTCTTTTTTGAAATAGAATTTGGTGTTGATGGTTAATTTCGATAATCTCTGTCAGATTTATTTACAAATTTCTACATCGGGCAATTTTGAGTTTGACAATTTCAATAAAAGACACTTGGTGGTATTGGAGATCATAAATGAAGATCTGGATTGGGTTCTTTCATTTCCTTATTCTTTAATTTTTCGAAGATTTTTCTCTTTTTTCTTTCTTTATTTTTTACTCTTATTCTTTATTTTTAATTTTTATCTTTATTCTTTATTTATTTTTACTCTTATTTTTATCATTTATATTTCAGCACCCCATTATTCTTTATTCGTGAATTTTCGGGGTGTTGTGAATAAGAGAGTGTGCGTGACATTGTTAATGGTGAATAAGTACCCTTTCAAAAATGATTCCAGCTTCACTGATGAGTCTTTTTTAAACGAAAAGGGCGTCTGGCGTATAAAATGTTAACCCTGATATTTATGATCAGCTTTTTATCCTCATATTTAACTTTTCTATGGTTTTTTCATGTAAACTCTCTTCTAAGACTAAATGGTTGTTATGCCAGCTGACAAAACGCTCAACAATTTTTTCGATCTTAAACACTAATAATAATATATTGAAATATTAGATCACATTTTTATTTACTTTTGCATAAACTGAGAAAAGGATGGCATAAAGTTAATGCATTTTAAAATCATGGGGTTACTTTATATATTTACATTTTTAACTTTTTATGAAATAATTCAATTTATTTGTAAATGAATATGTATTATCATATTTTAATCTTAATTAATCATCATTATATATTGTTTAGAAATGTTTTTACGGGTTAAAATATTGGAAAGTGATCAGGGAAATCTTGAAAAGACATAAACATAGGATGCATAAGGATGAACAAAATATAGCAGTGGCCGTCCCTGACATATTATAGAGAGGTAAAATAAAAATTTAAATCACAAAGATATATTTGGAATGTTTAGGCTGTCCTTGTTCTGGTCTGTAAATATCATAATATATTTTTCAAGTATGATATGTTTTAATTTCCTATCGCGGAAATGAACAGTGCAAGTTTTTTTGAAGAGTTGGTACTCCTTTCCCAACAACTAAATAAAAATCAACCCATCCACCCCAAGGTGTCAAATTTAGGGACTATTGTCCGAGGTACATTAAATATTTATGGGTAAATAACGTGATTGTACTTGCCATTACTCTTTTCCCTAGATAGACATTTTTTTATAAAAATTATACGACATCACATGAAACAAATTAAAAAAAAAACATACGTGCACTTGTTACAGTTGGTGGTACAAACTGAAATGCTTGACCATAAGTCTGAGTTAAAACTGAAGACAAAAGTATAAACGACTTCAACATTGTCAGCCTACAGAAAGAGTGATCAGATAAATCTTGCACTGTGTAGATAATACTTGCACCAAAGACGTCAAATCCTAAAGCGATAAGATAATATACTATTTAACTCCTCCATACAGAAACGTTTCATTCTTTATCGATAATACTTGATACTTTAATCAATGTCATTTTTCGATATATATTGCAATATGTCTAAATGTACGACTAATTCTGTCATTTCTTTCAATGCTAAATCACAGTTAGGTAAAAGCTATCATATATAAATTATGAATTACTATGTAAATGATGTAATGTTATACCTATTCACAACCTTATGAAGATACCAAATTAACATCGGTGTAATTTGTTTGTTCCTTTTCTTCACTTTTAAAGGTCGGTGTAGTTCATTCTTTTCATAAAATTTAGAAATTCATAGCTGTTTCTCGAGTAATCAAAATAGAAGATACCCGTACTAGTAACATTTAACAGTTTTAATTCAGTACTACCTTCCCTTCACTTTTGGTCTTCCTCAGAATTCAAATTGGCCGCTGTTCATGTGTATTTGAACTGGTTATATTCCCACGTTGTGTCTCTATGAGATGAAACATAGAGATCATATCTTGGAACAGAAAGGTAACCAGAACTAAATATCTATGAATGTCCCCAAAAGAGGCGTGGTTTGTTTAACAACTATTTACACAATGCAACTTATACTAACATTTATTCCAAAAGAAAAATCTTGAAAAACACTTTTTCTCACAACAATACATATTTATCAGAATCATAGATTAAAACAAATCACTGCATGTACTCTAATTTTTCTTTTTACAGTACATTTAATACCCCCACTCCTGTATCATTTTTAAGGAATTTGAAAACAAGACTTTGTTAGCTTACAGTTTTCTGACATGAAGTGCCTAGAACCTTTATCAGACTACTCTTATAACAATCAAAAACAATTCAAAATACTATAAATGTAAAGTTTAATAGTGAATCATTCAAGATTATATAAAGTATCCAATCCTGCCTCTGTCTCTAGTCCACATCTTATTGAATACCCATTTGAAGTTCACAATTTCTACCTCAAATGTTTAATTTTGAAGTTTTGTCACAATGATATCATCTCTAACCCATACATCTAACATAATTTGTCTAATATACTAGTATAAACTAGAAGTGATTAAACAAAGTCATTTTCTCTTTTTATATGCTACTGGTGCCTCCAATTTGCTATATAATTCTGCTGTTTCGGTGAATATGGAATATTTAGTTTATTTTTTAGGATAGAACACACTATTGTTAGTTTCATAGAGGTATTTTCGTATCTCTAGCTTGTATTTTTTCATGCCGCAGTCACGAGAAAGCACAGTCAAGTTAGGGGCTTACTTGTGGGTTTTCGACAGGACAAAAACACCCAAACAACAATGTTCATCAAGGATCTATGAGTTTCAGTGACTGCGAATAGTACATATAAGCACTTCTTAATAATCTGAATTACATATATGCATATATTATGAATTTACTTTGCATACAGGGCTTTAGGTAAACTATGCATAATGTAAATTATGAATTAATGTTGAGTCATCATATTTAAGGCCAGCATTTTCTCAATCTTCATGAAATATTTATAAAACTTTATATTTGAGCTAATTTCATTAAAATTCAGGAACTTCTTTACGGCTAATATTGTGCCACATTTACTATGAAGTTTCGTAAAGTAAACTGTAGTATAATTTATTTTTTGTAAGTCGTCACATATGGTTTTTCACAGGTTAGCTTTTTTTTTGCAGATTGAAATAAAAGTTAATGCAATTGGATTTCCAGTTGATATATTTCGAAAAAAATCATGTGACACAATGAGCATTGGTCCGGTTCCAATCAATGTTGTAAAGTTATCATTAGATATGAAATAAGATAAATTAATAGAAACAATTATTACGTTCTGAAATCAGTGTTGAATTAACTTCGAATGTTGGATATCACGTAGGCATATTCGTTAGTATAACTTAAAATGCACTTTTTGTTTATATGTAATTATTATCTGGATTGAATCATTACTTAAAACTCACTTTCACCTAAATTACTGAACTTCAGACAGTTGTCCTCTCTGAACAATCTATATAGTGGATAAGTACATAGATCTGCAGCATATTCGTTTCAGTTGGGAATCTTATATACACATGGAATTGGAGAGGTATTCTCTGTAAAGTATAAAAGAAATATAAAATAATTCTAAGTGAAATATGGTATACAATGTTTGAAGGGTGCATATATTACGTATGTGCCTTATTGAAAGAAGCTAAAATATTTTACTTGTACTGACAGTTTATACGATTGGTTATGTTTTAGAGTAAGATAAGAATGTCAGCAATGGCGTTGTCAGTTTGTTTTCGACTTATGAGTTTTAATGTCCCTTTGGTATCTTTCGCCTATCTTGTAATCCTTTCGGAACCTCTGAATTCGCGGTTTATTGTTGATAACTTGTTGTTGAATGTTGTTCATATTATTTTTATTTATTTATTTGTCCTGTGTTAGTTGACTAGCTTTGAAATTTTGTTTAAAAAACTAATGAATTGTGTTAAATTAAGGAGTGTATTTCTCTTATGCATAGCTCTGATTCCTTTCCTGGTTGACTTTATTTTATTTCTTTTCGGTTTTAACAGCTTTCAAAGTTTATAATTGATATAGGTATTTTTATAAATTTCAACTCCCTCAGGCAAAGTCGACCTTAGATGGATTTGGTTATTTTTTGGTACTTTTTGGTTATATAGCTCTTCAATTGTTTTGGTTCTTATACATCCTCGGCTTTCACATATTCGGCTTTGAGCGTTCCTGATTAAGGTAAATCCAGAAAAGCGCGTCTGACGCATGAAATTAATAACGTGTTGTTTTCATTTTTTATAATTTTGACTATTTTCAAACTGTTGGTATAAATACATCCTTAGCCGTATATAGCACTGCTTTTTGGATGTTTTAATTCTCAATGCTTTTCAACTTCGTCTTTAAATTGGCCTTTTATTTTATTTATTCGAGCATTGCTTATAAATCTTATGTGAACGAAAATCGTGTATTACAAACTAAGTGTTTTGACTAGTAACTTTGATGAGTTTATATTTCAGGTGTTGTATTTCCAAACGTTTTGGTCTAGAGCATCACTGATGAGACAGTGTTTATTACTACGCAACTGGTGCAGTTTAACTGGTACTGTATAATGTTATTGAATTGACTAATGACTTCTTATTGCCTTTGGTATCAATAACATTATACAACTCCCATGACGATAAAAATATAGGTAAGACGAAAATCACCACTGTGTTTTTCCATACGGTTTGCGTCGGTGTTACAAATACATTTGGTTATGAAAAATTCAGAACATCTCATCACACTTCCAGTGATTGTGAGTATATCTAGCAAGAAAACTTTTTTTTATGAGATAGTGCGGGATTTGGTTGTTCAGAGTAGAGAAGTCATTACTGTCGACCGAATTGATAAGACCATCAAAAGCGTGTAATTATCTAAATCATCCAAAGGATGTTTTACACTCCAAAAACAATTCCATTATTTTTCATATGCTTTTTGTATATTACGAAAGTTAATGATAAGATATTTGATAGTAATAAGAGGACTAGTTAAAGGCTATGACAAATTAGTTGTCGAACACTAGCTAGCAACCAAGATGAAAGGATAATTGACGTTTATTTGTGTAGTTAAGTAGCTAGTACATAGTACATCTCTATGAAGTATATGGACATGAAAGTAGAAGAATTTATATTTCATTCTGTCATGTCATTTTAACGTCATACCACCGTCACATTATTGGCTGATTTGTGTACCGGCACAAACCCAAACCTCCTTGCTATTTCATGAAATTTGTTTCTAACTGTACAAATCTGCGTTTTAGTCACCCATTTACTCATTTTTAAATTATTTTCAAAATGTGAAATTCAAATATCCACAATATTCAAACGTTTACGTAAATATGAATCGAGAAATTCCTATAAAATTTCCAGTTCACACCGATTTTTACCGTAGAATGAAAGAGCATTTGTAATGACCTGACGACACTCTTGCCAATTTATTTTCGACAAAGGACGATATTTTTGGTCCTTGTATTTTCAGAAAAATTTTGACCTCTCGGTCTCGAACGATATTGAGTTCTCTGTAATAACATGGCAATATGGATTATTGGTCCTTTTTTTTTGCATATGTTTTCTTTGTATAAGAAATTTTGTTTATTAATTCCTACCTTTACGAAATCACTTTAGGGAGAATATAAGTGATGAAGTGCTAGTTATTTCAAGATGGTTTGGATTTGGTCGTTTAAATTTACCTTAGAATATTGTGCATTTATACCGACTGTCTATCGAAAAGATACAGTTTATATTATGTAATTTGGGTCAGTTGAATGTACAAACATATAAAAGGTGGATTGGGTTTATCTTTCCATTATAGACTAGAACTAGTACAAAGTGAATTGCGTCGTTTTAGAACTAATTACAAAATGGGGCGCTAAAATTACATGAGCATATGTCGGATTTTGGTTGCTAAACAAGCGCATACACAAAAATCAACTAAACTTCTTAGTGATTAATATTGAATTAATTTTTCTATGAAATGCTAAAAGATATGCAATAAAAGATATTGGATACAAATTGATGAAAAATCAGTGTCTAATAGACAGCAATCAAAAAACAAAATAGAGTAATACGTTAACACATCAATCAATTTCATTTCAAGCATTCTATGCATGTTCGTTTCATATGGTTATTTATGTAAATAAATGATAGGAAGTACTGCAACCACAAATCACATTCAGGAAGACAAACCCCAATCAAACAAATAAAACATCGTCGCGGTATGTGAAAGGTAAACGAAGAAAAGACGCGAACAAATAACGAACGCTTCAAATTGATTCATGGCAAGTGGCAACACAAATCGCATTAAAGCCAAAATTTATAAAACACTAAGGGTAAGCATATTCTGTAGTGTTACGTCCCTTTATAAAAACAACATGGCGTTGAGGAA